TTGGGTTCCACTCAAATTGGACAAAAAAAATGAGCGGCTGTGTTTTTGGTTTCGCTACAGCAAATGAAACTGCCATCCCACGGGGAAAGTATTTCGCAATGGCCAACTCGGTGTTCATAATCCCCGTTTCGAGGACCAAGTCCTGGTGTCGCCCAGAATAGGACGGAGTGCCTGTGAAGAGTGGGTTCTATTCAATCCAATTACCTGATCAAGGACAACAATGTGTGTAGTTTAGCCCGTTGTATTCCAGAAGGAAGCCTTTGGGTAGGTGTCAAAAATAATGGGGGAAGCCCCAAAATGGTGGTTCTCGTTTTGCAAACATGTTGCCGAGCCTCATAACAACAAACACGCTTCTGTCAACGTGTGACGCATCTGAGGAAGCGGCATTTGCCAGCACGGACATGGAAACCTCAGCTGTGCGCACGCGGCGCACAACGCGCCGAACCAACTGAAAACACTAGAGGACTGTTTTGCCAAGCCCCCCAATCCTCCCGCCGCGTTGATAACAATCCCATGGAACTGAGAGCATTCCACATGATGAAAGAAATCTGCCAGGGTGTGCAAGTGCAGCTTTACAAACAGACTGCGCAGTTCTCTGCGCAGGCTCTTTTCAAGTGCCCTGTGCGAGGCGCTTTGCGCAAGTCTGCGCAAGTTTCTCTGCGCAAGCCTGCACGTCGATCTCTGCGAGTGCTCTGCGCATGTTGTTTTATGCAAATTGCCCTGATTCTTAGCCAGTTGCCAATCGTAAGTGCTCTGCGCAAGTGCATGCGTCTGCCAAATTCTCCGTGCTCTGTGCAAGTTGCTCTGCGCAGTTGGGCCCTATGCAAGTTTATCTGCGCCGATGGCACAGTGCAAATTTGCTGTATGCTAGTTACTCTGCGCAAGGTCTCTGAGCAAGTGTCTTTGCACGAGTGCTCTGCGCAAGTTGCTCCGTGCAAGTCTGCACGTCGCTCTGCGCGCGTGCTCCGTGCAAGTTTCTTGCTCGCAAGCTGGGGTTCTGCGCGGGAAGAAGCTTCCTGTACTACTTGCGTACTTCGCTGACCTAGCGGGGATCGAACCCGCAACCACAAGACTACAAAAGCAGGCGCGCAAACCACGAGACAAAAACGAAGAACCGGCTCGTCAAGCAGAATCGTAAAAGCCCCGCAGACCACGCCTATGCCCGCAAAGTTTCCCGCGCGGACCGCGGACAGAGGGTTGATCGGCGGATTGAAAACCGTGTTATACTCATGTTTTTGGCCCGACCACGCTGATTCCCGCAGAGGGTCGCGCGGGTGTGATAAAAAGTTGAAACATCCTCAGCTTCTTGATATCGACCACGCTGATCCCCGTCGCAATCCAGCGCGATGACAGCAATCCAGCGCGATGACAGCAGCTCCACCTGCAACCTAAAGAGAAGAGTTATTAGAGAGCTCAACCCCCGCGTTGAGAAGCTTCTCTATGGAAACTTAGCCTTAGCTTACATAGCTGCTAACGCCGGGCCGCGTCTCTAGCTCTCTACCCTGGAACTCGACCTAAAGGTTCCCACCTTTCACACCCAATCTGTCTTTACCCAGGCACGCAGACTCTTCACATCCAGACTGCAGACTATGCCCAGACTACTCATGCCCAGACTATTCCCAAACTACTCGCCTCTGCGCACATGGCTCTGTGCAGGTTGCTCTGCGCAAATGGCTCTATGCAAGCGACTCTGCGCAAGTGGCTCTGCGAGGATGGCCAAGGGAGATGCTTTCGGGAAAAACGAAACTCTTCGAACAAGGAGATGACGTGGGGAACCATTTTAGAAACTAGTGGAACCCAGTGACATCTAGCTTTAATCAAGCTACGGGCCCCAGTGTCACCCTGTGCAAAAAGCGGCTTTTGGGCAGTCTGAGCCCAACGCCCACAGCACTGCATGATGCAAATGACCTGGGCCGCGTGCGACATGTGCTTGCTTCCCCGAAAGGGCTTGGAAAATTTGGGTGGGCGCCTCGGGGTGGTCCCCCGAGTTCCCCAGAGTGGACCCCAGCAACTCACCTGATTTGCCGCAGGCAAACACCCTCCAAACGTGCGCGCATGTCACATGTGGTTCGCAAAAAGAGCTTCCGAAAATCGGCCCCTGGATGCAAGACGCGTCCTTTAAAGATAGGGAATCCCAAATCACCTGTTTCCTTTTGTTTTCTCGTGACAACCATCCAAAAAGGGGTCTGCTATTTTGAGAAGCCCCGTGTGGTTTCCCGCAAGGACACCGCCACCTTTTTCAACCAAACTGGAAACCAATCTTTAGGACACCCAGCTCCATCGAAGAAACGACAAAACACAAGACTTGCCGATTCAACTCACAGGGGCTTCAAATGGCGACCACGAAAAGACGACAAAGCTGTTGGTTCAAACAATCACCAAAGACGATGTTGTGTGGCTAAAACACCAAAAAATGCCACTGTGGTGTGTGGTTGACACACTGAGCAAAGACAACAAAGATGCTTCAAACACTAAACTGAGACAACAAATGATTCAAACGTTGGAAACATTGATTCCAAACATCAAGTCAGATCCGAAATGGGTCCTCCATTGCCCCCGCTACACGGGTCCAGGAAATCCAAGTTCGGAAGCTCCAAAGTCCAGTTTCGAACATGTCACACCCAAAACCTGCTTCGGTGTCCTTTGACAATGTGGGGGACAAACAAATCGCCCAAGGTGTCCTAGCGGCCCCAAAAAATACAGACCCAAATCACATGTGTAACCAGACTATACCCTAAATCAGCTATACGTGGTGTTCAACATTGCCACTTTGAGTGTCCTTTATGCAACATGAATCATGGGTGTAGATCGATGGATTAGCTGGTGGTTCATCCGATTGATAGATCTTGGCCCAACCCCACAGCACATTCAAGTCACAGACTCGCCCCTGTTAAACACTAACCAATACAAAACGTTGGTACACCGATTCCAACTTGGGCTTTGGGACGAGTCCAACCAAAAAACACTACTCAGTCTACCCCCTGTTTAAAAAAAAAAATGGTAAACTCAGGCCCCAAACTCCAAAGGCCAACGTTTGGCCAAGTCCCATGCTTCGGCTTCTTGGGCTCCCCGCTCTGCAGGGGCATCCGCAAAGGCCGGAGCCCTGCCTCTATCGGGAGCGTGGGTGAAGCGTGTAGAAAATTCTACCATCTCGAGGGTCACCAGGGCACCGAGCTTTTCTAGAGGGAGTTGTTGTTTTTGGAGAAAAATCATGCGTTCATGAAGGAATCACACAATCGGGGTTGCTCCAAAGATTGTGGCACAAGGGCCAGACTTTCGGGTCCTTGCAAATAGTCAGTTGGGTGAGGGAAACAGTGGGCTGTGCCTCGGACACAGGGCGTGTCTTGGGGCTGAACAAGTCATCATCTGGTTTGTCTCCAGAAGGGAACCACCCACCAAATTTTCGCGATTGCCCTTTGGTTTCCCTTTTGCCCAGCACCCTGCCCAGCACCCAACCAGCATCATCACTGCTGCGCAAACAGCTGACCAGCCCCTGACCAGCACCACACCCTGACCAACACCCTGACCGCCTGCAGCACCCGGCCCGACTTCGCTGAACAACCCCCGCCTCTTAGTAAGAACCCCTATACTCACTTGCTGAGTGGATGGCCCAAAAAAGGTCCAAACTTCATGTTTACCACTAAAATTGTCTTCCCAAAAAGTTTAAAGTTCATGAACTCAAGAAGTGTGTGTAGCTAAAGACAAAACCGTTTCGAAGGAGACCTCAAGACTCTTGCAGCACACTCAGGAGAATCGCCAAACGACCAACGGCGCGGCGCCTTGTCCACACGCCCGGGGAAGCTCTGAACCAGCACAAAGGCAAACCTGGGGAGAGTTGCCGTGCTGTCATATGGCTGTGGGTCAAAAATATGTACCCAAAATGGAATCCTGGTAAATGGAAACATAGACTAAATCCTGCGGTCCCCTGGTGGTTTAAATTTGACCCATACCCATATGAGCCACCGCACGGTCAATGTGTCATAGTGGTAATTTGATGAGTGTTGCCCATGCCCCCGGCAAATGCAGAGACTTGGACTCCAGTCATTTGAATTTAGGAAAAAAAAGAAGCCACATCCAAGCTGGGCGGCAGGTTTGGAGGCAAGGCCCCTGGACATAAACTTCAGGCCATCAGTCTGGTGCGTCCAACTTGGGGTAACTCTGGGTTGCTTCACTGCTCCCAAGTCCATGCTTAAACTCGCAACTTGATTTCGACAAAACAAGTTGACCCGAAGACCAACATGATGTGTCAAAGATACACCCCCAAAATGGCGGCATGTCTTCAGCACGCACACAAACCAACTTTTGCACTTCGACATAAGCCGTGGTCGAAATTTGTGCTTCCCTTGGCCCTACCAGTTGCCTCACGCAGGTGACCTCTTCATCTTTGCATACACTCCCTCAGACTAACATGGAAGCTCCCAGAAGGCCTCTGTAAATGCAACCAAGTCTTCCAAAGGGATCCTGGGAGCTTCCATGTTAGCCTGGCGGAGGGTAGGTGATCTGCCAAAAAGAAGTCCACTGCCAGCTCTGAAGCGTGCTCTTCTGCCTGAAGAAGCCGGCTCACCCGGCGGACCTCTGCCACTCTGGGCAAGCTCACGTGACCGTTGATTTGTTTTGTCGCTCGGCTTGCTGAAGTATTTCCTTCTCCAACAATGTCGCATCGACGATTACCTCGAACGGAGTGGCCAACACAGAAGTCGAAATGGACCATGGACAGATCCGCATGCGGGAACTTCGAGTTATCCAAGCCTGGTACTGAAGAAATCTACCCACCACCCATGGCCGAGTTCGAATCTATTGGACTGTCCCTTTGCCCTTCATCAGGGTGTCTACTTCTTTGAGGGTGCCCTCTGTGGCTTCGTTTGAAAGGAAATCAAAGCAAAACTAAACGATTTGGGGGGGGGGGTCCCCATGTAATCATGGAGCGCCAGGATACAAATTTGACCCTCGCGGTCCAGGCACATCTCATGACCTCCTCAGCCGCAGAAGCAACGCACAAAGTGCGTTGCCCGGGCTGAAGCGCTCCGATTCACGATATGGGTGAAAAATCAGACTGAGATGCACCCTGACCTCATGCCAAGTGCCGGCTGCCCCTGTAGGGTACCAGCGGAGCGCCAGAAGTTCCACGACGGTAGCACCAAATGAGCTTACCCTTACCTGTAGACACAAACTGAGTCACAATCAAAACCCGGCGTTAAAATGGTCCACCCAGACTCGTGCTTCAAGAATTAAGAAGGCGGATATCCGCAACTATTTCTGGCTGGGACTGCCCCTTACTAACCTTCATCTACTCCGGTTTTGGTCCCAGTTGTTCAGTGACCCTGCAAAAAAAGGAACCCTTTTTGGGGAAGACCATTTTTAGTGGGGCAGCCACCAAGAAAAAAAGGGAAAAAGAAGAAGGGTGCAAAGAGTCCAGAGGCCCGCGCTCGGAGATGCTCAACAGGTTCCCCGCCTTTGGGTTGGCCTCTCAAACCGGCGAGGAGCGAGGGTGGGGTGGGGGGGCGGGGGAGGGGGCGGGCGTGTACGACCTCCGTTTCAACTGCGGCAGATGTTGTGAAGCTTAGATTCAGATCAATCCGAAGCTGATGTCAAGCCCCATGTGCTGATGGTACTGTTTGGTGGGTGCATTCAGCGTTACTGCAACTGGGAAACTTGACCGTTGTTCATCTCCACAAACACACGGCGCTGCCAGTTGGAGTTTGACGTGCACCTGCAAAGCAAGGGGATAGGACGACCTTCGGAAGAAACAAACATGAACACAACCATCCAAAGAACCTGCTAGATTTGAACGCACCCCCCAGAAGCGGTTCATAGAAGCAAGTTTCTTCACTCTTGATCCTTGACAAGTGGAAGTGTGCAGAATTGGGGCCCCCCTTCAGGACCCTGCTGCCACTTCATGCCGCCTTTCAAAAAGTTTTAACCCCCGCGTGCGACCCAATGCCCATCTGGAATCACAGCAGGGTTTGGCAAAATGTGACAACCAGACCATGGGCACCTAAAAAGGGGATCCAACAGGAGGATGCTGAAACACCGAAGCGTTTCAACACGCCTGAAGTGGGGTGCATCTCATCTTGAATCACAGGCCTTCAGTACATACTCCATCGCAATGACCGCCGACATGCAGCCGCCAAAGACCTGATTCCGACGGCCACCGCTCGTGGCATTTTCTAGGTGCTTTTGGCGACGGAAATGAGGCTCAAAAACATGCCAAACTTAAAAATTTGAAAAGGACACGGAAAGTTTAGGGCGCCTGGTTCTACTGGTGCAGATGCAAGTTCCCCATTCCCCTCCAAGATAGACCATAGACCGAACCTGGGGAAAGTGTTTGCCTCCGCCGCCTTGAACAAGCAGCCTTGCATCAGACCGCATCCTGGTCGCTGAGGGCAGGGACCATCGCAAAGGGCAGCATCGCAGACAGCTGCATGCTGCGATCTGCGCAGCCAAGGCATGCGGCATCCGGGCGCGGCGAAAGCGGTTGTGCAAAGAACCCCAACGGGGATGAAACCAGAGGCCCCCCCAATTCTTTGATCCGCAGTCGGACCCCACTACAAGTTCGAGAGAAGGGAAACCTGTGCAGTACCATCTCGGTGCACAGGGATCAAGAAGGGAGGAAAGCAAACAACCCCCAACTCCACCCCCACTTGAACCTTCTTAGAAGGGGGCGCGGTTTTGTCTTTCCTGGGTTACAGGCCATGCCTACGGGCATGTGTCCAAACCAAGGGGATTAAACCAGCCTAAAAGACGAGCCTCAAAAAGACGAGCCTCGCCCATCAAACCTCCTCTGGCAGGTAGCTGCAAAGGGAAAACTGGAGGACAGTTACACTGGAAAATCTCCCTTCTCCGTCCACGAATCATGGAACGGGGCTTTTCTGATCTCAATGGTCTCGCAACACCCGTCTTGTTCACTTCGACAGAGCCGAAGCAGCAGACTGACTGCGGCCTTGCACACTCGCCGCCATGCCAAACGATATCACCTGCAAGGGAATCTTTGCCCCTGCATCCGGCCAAGCAGCCGCTCAAAGCAATCAATACCGCGTTGGTGTGCTTGCCTGGCTACCAAAATGATCTGGGGCACATATGACGGTTGCGTGATTTGTTATGTAAGAAAATTCACGAACCCCGCCGGATGGCTCAGGGTGGAGTTCCCCTTGACCTGGGCAAATGATTGTTCTTACTTGTGGTCCTCCAGATTTATCCAGGGCTCCTGATTCTTCCCAAGGGAAAAAAACACATGGAGGACGCTCATTTCAAGCTGCTTGCACTTGAAGCTGCTTTTTAAAGGTGATGCTACCCACGCTTTTGAGCGAGGACCTCAAACGACAAATGGGTGTGGGTTCCTCTGACAATCTTGGTTACCCGTTGAACGGGCATGAACGAACGGGTTCCGTTCGGATGCTGCACCCATGGCTCTCCTTTTGTGCAAACACCCATTTGTCAGAGCCCGCTTAACGGGTCCCGCAGCTTGAACAACCGGCTCATTCACGCCGTACAGGCCGCTAAATCCCATACGGCAGCGGAAAGCGTAGCGGAAAGCGCCAAGAACAAAGTGAACAAACAGAGAGAGAGAGAGAGAAATCTCATCCGACCAGGAAATTCACTTCGGTGCAACCGTCATTCCAACAGATCCTCAGCTCACCGATGACAGATGGAGGTGGGATCGCTTCAATTGGCCAAGAGTCGAGAAACGCGCCCGACAAATCGAACCATGAACCATGGCATCCTAGGGAACCCAAAAACAAAAACATCAATTTCAAGCCATTTCCGCCTCGCAAGGACCCGGACCTAATTTGTACATGCATCCCGTTGGCCAAAAGTCTGTGTTTGCACTCAACCTTGGGTCGTTGGCTGGGCGCATGTCTACCCAGCACAGGCTTGCCGCTCCTGCATAAAAACAAAAAAACATATCTTTCTCTCGCTCATCGGAAAGCCCTTAGTAAGGCCTATAAGGTTTGTTTGGGGGCAGCCCAAACCAGGCCAAACGAGGATCCCTGGGGCATCCAACAGCCTTTTCTCCTGAAACTCTCCGACCAAACGCGGGGTTGCGCGGAACTTGGGTGAAAAGCGGCACAGCGGCTGCGAATGGAATAGGAGTCGTCATATGTCCACCAAAGCATCTCACCATGAGAGGGGGATGTTTGTTCAACATAGCAACGCCGACGTGAAACTGCAACGTGCTTGATCCCGCCCGAAGTTGAAATATCAAGACCCTTGTGGCACGGGAAACTCAGCAAACCGCACGGAACACCGTGCGGTCTCAAAACGCGAGGTACCTGCAAGGTGCGCGAAATGTCAAAAGTGCTGGCTAATCACTGTTGGATTTTGGGGTGTCCTCCTGCTACTGTTCAGGAGAGCGCTGAGTAATATATCCGGACGCTGTCCTAATGGATCAATGGCTACCCAACGAGGGACCATGTCTAACGGGTCCGGAGGGTCTTGATTGAATCCGAAGTGGAAATGATCCTAAGGCTTAATTTGGAATGCCCTTGTCCTGTGGAAAACCTGAAAAAGTCTTCAGAGTGCCCCAGGTGGGCCGGGCGTAAGCGTTGGGACTAGACCTGGACGCCATGGTAAATTGTGTGAAGGGCTTCGGGGGAATCTGGAAAACCAACCTTCAGCAACCCAAAAACGGATTACCGGGTGTAGAAACATCAAACCAATGGAAGCAAGCGCACGAACATGCACAGCTAGGGTGGGTCTCGGGTGGCCTCGGCCTTTTGGCCGAACGTAGAGTTGGAGCCCCTCCATCCGTCTAAAAAAACATAAGAAGAAACTCGTAACCGTGAAGCCAACTGAACGAACCATTCAGAGCCATTGCAAGGGAAGCCACAGCCGAAGAGCGACTAGTTAGCGACTAACTGTTTGGGGGCCATCAAGATCTTCTCACGGCTCCCCGTGATCTGAGTCCGAAAAGCCACCCCTTGGCCCGCACCGTCACGACCTAGACCTCGACGATGCCGGCTCCGCACCGAATTCCTGGCGTCCCAAGCGAAGCCCGGACCCGCAAACGCATGGCTGGGGAAATGAGTGTTCTCGAAATAGGGGACCCCCTAAAGATGGTTGGTTTCCTTTCGGTTCCCCCTGGCTGAGAGGTTGAAATAGGCTAAATCTCACACCGCGGAGGGGCCCCAAAGCGGCTCCCACCCAGACCTTCGGAAGACTTGCAGGGGAACAACGGGAAGGCTGGTTTAGTCGCAAATTTGGTTTGGTTTGATTTGATTTAATTCGGTTTGGCTTGTTTGTTTGTCCGTCTGTCTGTCTGTCTGTCTGTCTGTCTGTCTGTCTGTCTGTCTGTCTCTGTCTGTCTGTCCGTCTGTCTGTCTGTCTCTGTCTGTCTGTCCGTCTCTCTCTCTCTCTCTCTGTGCGTGTGTCTTTATACAAAGGTACCCAGTTTGGTTGTGTTTTGAAGGACAACCAAAACAACGCCAGCCATTTTGGGGGATCCCCTGTATAGAGATAGACTCACAAGTTGCAGGTACGGGCACAAGGACACCGATTCACTAATTCGCTGTGATTGACCATGGATTTGTGGTTGATCATGGCTGGTTTACTTGCAATAGTGTGGCATCCGGATGGGTTTTCCTTCGGACCAGACGAGTTCCCTGTTTTTCAATTTGGGTAGGCATCCTTTCTTGTGTTCCCCTTCTTTCCGGGGATGCGGAAGAGGTTTGAGAGAGGGGCGGATTGGTAGAGTTGGTTGGATCGTGTCTACAGGGAATGACAAAGTAATGTCTAGGGGGCTTGCCATTTTTTCAAGGGCGCTCTTGGGCTTTCTTCGCGGACCACGAAGCCCATCTTGCGGCGTTCCCATGGGAACCAGATCCATGGAACCCGTCAGAGCTCCCGAAAAAGATCCCTGTGGCTTTGGATGTCACACGTCATTGGAAGGGACAACTTGATTTGTGAGCTTCGAGTAATGCTAGAGAATGGAAGCCTTGGCGATCGAAAGCACCCAGATTCGTTCCATGTTTTCCTTTGGTTTCATGGGGGGAAGGGACATCTTGCCAGGGCTGTGGTGATTTGGCCTAGAGCCGGTTGCGCCCGATTCTGGGGGCCAAAATATCGACTCTGAGGGGAAAGGTGCACCGCTGAAAATCGTCAGCCGCCAACAGGTTTCCTGGGGTCACAAACGCAAGACCGAAAGAAAGAGACAAAGAAAGAAAGAAAGAAAGAAAGAAAGAAAGAAAGAAAGACAGACAGACAGAAAGACAAACAAAAAGAAAGAAAGAAACAAGCGAACAAACGAGCAAGCAAACAAACAAACAAACCCCCATTCCTTATTTTGACACAAACCCTAGTTGCTGTGTTCCTTGAACATGCAACCAAAAGCCGACCAAAAAGGGTACCCTGAAACGAAATCACACCCATTTGGCTCTCACTTTTTCGGGAACCCCCTTGAAAAGTGATCGGTGGACATCAATCCCACCTAAACGATGTCCACCAAAGGCCCTAAACCACTCACTTCTTCACTTCCTTAGTGGATAGGCCAACACAAAGTCCAAACTTTGATTTGCCACTAAGTGGTCCAGACCCCAAAAAGTTTTATGACGTCCAGGAACTCGGGTTGCGCGTTTCGGACCCCCTCCGCCACCGCAGTCTAAGCCCCCGCGCCGTCTTGCGGTACCGCTCCGCGTTGTCGGGCCCTTCCCCCAGGTCCGCCACCGCCGACTGCTCGCCCCCCACCGCCTGGGAGCCATCGACGCCCCGGTGTCGAGCGGAAAAGACGGCACCGTCCATGCGGACGGGGGCGAAATCCGCTTCTCGCACCACTGTTCAGAAACCCAATGATGCCATTCCCTGGCAAAAATGCCAACAAACAATGGTTTCAACCATGGATTCAACTTGGCGCAGGATTGCGTCCATCCACAGCATGGGTGTTTTTTTGAGGATGTTTCAAGGGAAACCAAAAGCAACCAGCCATTTTGAGGGGGTCCATATGGATGTGCCTTTTTTGGAGGGTAGCCCTTTTGGCGGTTTTAAAAAGAAACCAAAAGGATGCCACCAATTGAAAAACACACCCATGTCTGGTTAATACACCTTGTTTACCTTGTTTGGTTGAGTACCTTTGTCGGTTGGTTGCACCAAGTGAGGCTTTCCTCGTGTTTGGCTTCCCTTTTGAAGCCAAACACGACGCGCTGATGGAAATGCCGCCTTTGCACTGCTTTTTGTTCTGTCCCTAAGCCAAGCACTTGTGTAAGCCCTCGTGGTTTCTCCTCTACGTCTGATAGCCTAAACCAATGTTGCAACCAAGCCCGCTGGTCTTGTATCAGAGAAGTCTGAGGCCAACGCCGCCCAAATCTTCCGCCAGAGCGTGTCCTTGCCCAGCTTTGTCCTAAGCTCGCCAAGCAAAGCCACTTCGAAACAGAAGCTAGACGGTTCCCTTGAACTTTGCGCGTGCTTCAGGCAAGCCAGGCAACCGCTTTCGGGAGTCCCTTTGCAGTTCGGGGCAGCAAATAAATCAAAGACCAAAACACGATACCAGACTCCAACCAACACCCAGCCGACCCTCGGCATGGATCTTTGGGGCCCCCAGCACCGAGCTGCAGGCGAAGATCTTGGCCCTCACCGCCAGGTCCTTGGACGCACAAACAGACTGTGGCTTGGGCTCCAGGTCCGAGGGGCGCGCCTGGCCTCCCGGGCTTCCCGTTTTTGTCCAAAGGCCGCGTGGCTTTCCAGTCCCAGCGACATCTTCCCCTAAACAGTCTCCACAAAAAATCAAGTCGGATCCCCTCCAAGAGGGCTTCTACACTTCTAGGAGGCCAAAAGCCAAACCCTGCCTGAAACACACAACAAACCCCAGCTTCGGCGCTTCGGTGAGCTCGTGTGGCGCAAGAACACGTCCCTTGTATGTCCCTTTGAACATGAAAAAGCGAAATACCATCACAAATGGCCCAAATGGTGATGTGTTTAAAACCTTCAAATCGGTAAACGGAAATGTCTTGGGATCCCTACAAGACTGTTTGTTTTCAATGGCTCGGCCAAGCGGCGGAGCCTTCCCTCCTCAATGCTTCCCGCACAATGCCGGCGAAACGCTCCAGCCTCGGTGGCCAAAGGCGCGGCAAGGTCTCCGAGTTTGGCTTATGGGTTGGGTTGAGAGGGAGTGTGGGGGCGAAGGGTCACGTGGTCTGTGTGCCATCGCCGCTCCGGGCCTGTGTGTCGCGTCAGACGAAATCGAATCCATTCCTGACCGATGCCTGGGGTCGATTTTCAAAGGGCCAGCGCACAGCCAACCATTCCAGGGGTACACTTTAGTTCGTAAAAATACTGCAAGAGGGTAGCAATGAAAACCTGAGTTTTCCCATGGTGTGTGGCTAGTCTGCTTGCAAAACTTAGAGAAGCAACCATAGATTCTCGGCTGTGTCGCATCCCCGTTGGCAGATTGACCCCATGGCTGGGTCTGCAAGTTTCTAAAGGTTCCTCTTTTGCGGGATGGTGTCAAAGGGAAACAAAAGGAAAACCACAACATTGAGGGGTCCCATAATAATTAGTCACACCCATGCTGGGGAACTCGGGGGAGATCCCTGTTGCTCAGGTCTTCGCTGAACTGGCACGCTGTTGTCTGCCTGGCAAAGCCACGCGCAGGGAGTCACGGAGTCGAGTCGATGGGGACCCCCTGTGTCTTAAAACAGAAAATTGAAAAAGAAAAAAAGAGAGAAACAAAACCTGGATGGTCTTCCTTTTTCGCTGCCCGTTAAACCAAGCTGAAACCGTACCATCCACAGACACACAGACACAGATATACAGACACAGACACAGACAAAGACACAGACACAGACACAGACACAGACACAGACACAGACACAGACACAGACACAGACACAGACACAGACACAGACACAGACACAGACACAGACACAGACACAGACACAGACACAGACACAGACACAGACACAGACACAGACACAGACACAGACACAGACACAGACACAGACACAGACACAGACACAGACACAGACACAGACACAGACACAGACACAGACACAGACACAGACACAGACACAGACACAGACACAGACACAGACACACACAGACACAGACACAGACACAGACACAGACACAGACACAGACACAGACACAGACAGACACAGACACAGACACAGACACAGACACAGACACAGACACAGACACAGACACAGACACAGACACAGACACAGACACAGACACAGACACAGACACAGACACAGACACAGACACAGACACAGACACAGACACAGACACAGACACAGACACAGACACAGACACAGACACAGACACAGACACAGACAGACGCACAGACACACAGACGCACAGACACACACGCACACATTTGAGAACTAGTTGTTTTTCGACCCTGAACCTCCGGGCTACACCCCCAATCAACCACCAGTTGATGAATCCTGGGCTCCCATGGAACGACCCAAGGAACTTTTTCGGGCGAGGTCACGAAGGCGCCCGGATCCGGCTTGGTCAGCAACCTGATTTGCCCAATGCCCAAAGTGGGCCCATGTTCGGGGAAAGTGTGAAATGCGAACCCTCTGAAGCGCTTGGTCTGTTGACCCTTTCACCCTGGGTATCCTGGGTCCAACTCCTGGTTGTGACACGGACGTGAGCCAAGAACAATCTCGCGTCCAAGGGCAGGACAATAGCTGAGTTTCGGCTTTGCATTGGTATCACGGACGAACATTCGGGATCCCCCCCTAACCTTCATTCTGAACCCCCAAGCTCGTCTTGCCGAGCAATCTCTCGCCCAGGATCGTTCCTTCGGAGCATCGGCTGGCCTTGGTGAGAACGATGCAAAGCTCGTAGTCAGACCGCCTCGCCTGCACAACTTCAGCTCAAGCTACGAGCTACCCAAAATACCGAGTACCCGCTGCACAGTCGAGTGACCCAGGTCGAAAAGGAAACCTTGGTGGAGAACCTGTCTAATGAAGAAGGGAAAACGATGTCAGCGACTCGGGTTGGAGAAAGGGGATCTCTTTGAGACGGAGACGGTCGGAGCTGATTCATCGGTTCAATGACGCTCCTTTTCTCCAAATGTCTGCCAGCATGGTGGTTGGTACCAAACAACACATCAAGGGTAGCTTGAACAAAATGTGCGTTCTGACACGCATGATGATACCCTAGGCCCTAGCTGCAGAACAGATCTTTGATTCCTGCAAAGATCTGAACAAACTCAGCCAGCCTCTGTTCAGCATGCCAGTCCAAACGCTTTTGATTGCAGCGTACCAGTGTGTCGTATGGAGCCCCCGGAGGACGCAACTTGACGACATGATCACCCACAAGTTGGCACTTCTTGAGCTCCTCCACCAATGAACTCAGCAAGGCAGACATCCGCGCTGCATGTTTTGAGCGCGACCATCTCCTCAATGGAGCAGCATTCAATGTCCTTGAAAAGCTTCTTGGCATGTTCAGAATCCTTGATAGAACCGGAACATTTACCTTGCATTGTTGGGTTGAGGCTGTTGCTCAAGCCGCTCAGGGTGCAATTCCCAGGATGAACTGTCGCACCATGACAGCCCCGGCACTCGCGGTGACGAGAACAGTAGGCCATAAGGCTTATGCTTGCTGTGCCATTGCACGGGAGCTGCTCGCATGCGCTTTTCGACTGCAAGGTCTTGACAAACTTCCCAACATCCAAGCATAAGGAGCGAACCAGTCCAAAGTGAAACTTCGGATCTTCATCCTTGAAACCTTGCTCTCTCACCAGGTCCACCTTCATGGAAATGTCAAAGTACAATGACATGAAGCGGCTCACAACTTTCTGTTCCTCATCGTTTCCACGGCCAGGCGCTGCACCTTGGACAGAGAATTTATCCCCACCCATCAATCCACCAACTGCCATCTTGTGGCTCAAGGATGCAGTAGAACTTGCTGGGTCCCCCTTTCTATATAGTAATATAGAGGCCAAAAGCAGTTCCCCAAAAAACAACTCCAAAATGAACACGAGGGCAGCCAAAGGCATGCTGATGTGAGTTGTCCCGAGCCTGGCGTTCCCTTCTACCAGCGTTTGATCCACAACGTTTCATGTCCTCGCTCACCTTGAAAGAATATATGATGGAGGCCTTGGTCGGGAAAATGGAATCAAAAGGTCATGGAGATTTGACTGGTTGAAATCCCCCAGCACTTGCTGCAACACAGGCGCCGCCTTCACGAAGCCATTTCAAAAGAGCGCTCACCAGCGGCGAGTCCATCCCTTGGGTCAGGTGGCAAATGCAAAATCACACAAAGGTCACCCGGGGCAAGAAAAAGAAAGAAAAGTAAAGCAGGTCCTCAGCAGGCCTTGTTAAAAAGGTAAACACCTTTGTCTTCTTCCGGTCTGATGTTCTGTACTCTCGCGGCTATGGTGCTAGGCACGGTCTTCCTTCAGAAGGATGTATCATGTGGTCAGACCAATAGATTCAACGGATGCAATGGATGTCCATCCCTGCGACCTAAGCCTACAAGGGTGCCTCAGCACATCACATCCTCTCGGCGATTTGGCCACTTCTCCAGAGCCTGATTTTTTCCCCAAATTTGTATCGCCTATGCGTATGCTGCCAGAACAAAACAATATGGTTGGGCTTTCGAATTCTCATCCACGTCGAGTCTTTCTTAAGAACCAAGCTCCCAACAAGAGGCCGCAGAACTTGAAGTGCCGGGCTGCCCCCTTCAAAATGCTGGTCCGACAACTCCAGGCCAAAGACGCTGCACGGCCTTGTGCTGTCCACGATGACGCGCAAGCCACTGGAGCCCCTCAAGTCCTCCGTGGGTTTGGGAACTAAGGTGCCCCAAGTGGAGGGACCATGATGGGGGGGTATGCAAGGAACTAGAGATACAAACTGACTGGAACCTGCCGGTCCGTGAGTTTTCGGCTCGCTTCCTCCATCTGTACTTCGTTCTTCAGGGTGTCCATTCCATCGCCAGGTAGCAAGGAGATCAACTCGGTAGACAAGAACTCTTTGTTCAAGAGCTTGGCTACCTCGTCACGAGCTTGCTGCTTGATGTCCGAGACCGTCATGCTGTCCATGATCCCGTCGAGCAAAACAAATTTTCCGGACAATCCCACCTGCAGCAGCAGCTCTCCTACCTGTCTGGATTGGTCATCCATGATCTTCTGGCGATCAAATGGCTCGGCTGTGACGGCGCGAGGCTGTATTGATGCTGCAACGGCGGGCTTCGCACAAAGGCGCAAACCCATTTCTCAAGCATCAAACAAATCCAGGTGATGCCGGGCTAGGCGCAATGACTGTTGAGAATTGTTCAGAAGTGTCGAGCGTTGTATCAAACTTACAAGCACCTCGGAGTAATAACATCACAGCAGAAAGAGTCTCAGATTTGTTTTATTCTTAATAAAATGCTCTTTAAATTATAAGGAAAGAGGACCACCTTAATGAAGCGTTTTCGGTCTTAGATGCGGAGGTCCCGACTAACCCCAGGCGACTGCATGGCTGTCCGGATGTGCAAATAAGCACCCAGGCTGATACATATGAAATTAAACTTGCATTCTATACCACCTCCGGAGCTGACCAGTGAAATTCAGAGCAACACATCTCCGGATTTCCAAACCAGCTTTAGGTCTACTGATCCAAGCCACTTTCCAATTCAAACTGCCCTCCGTGCTGGTTGGCGCCATCTGGAGAGGGTTGCCCCCAAGTTAAAGGCAACTCTGGAGTGGAAACAGTCCACACAAGTTAGCCCTGCTACACCAACCTACTTGCAAGGGCTCCAACTGGCGGTTGAGTTGGGACTTGACCCATCATCCCCGCAGACTTCATCGCGGGGACCCTGTTTTGTCCACCTTCAACCTGCGTTTGGGCCCCAGAAACCAAACGGCCAAAACGAAGAGCAACAGTTGCCCTTGGGGGTTGCCATGTTTGTTGATCCCCATTCTCTTTCTTTGCTGGTTGATTTTTTCTTGTGCTCTGCTTCGTTGCCACAACCTCCGGACTTCCGGACCTCCGGACCTCCGGGCCCAGGACCCAGAAAGACCCCCAAAGACCGCGAAGGGCCTGCGCCAGCAGGCGCCACAGCTCCCGGTCCGCAGGCATCAGCTCGCAGAGCCCCGCGTCCTGAGAGGCGACGGCCGGCTCCCAGCTCCCGGCTCCCGGCTCTGGTTTGATCAGGTATCCGGAGGCATGAAAAACACCTGAACATTGCAACTTGTAAATGGCAAGGTCTCCAACTTTATCTTGGTGTTAAAAAAGCCACATGTTTCAAATGGTCTTCACTGAAAAAGTGAGCTCCCGATTGGTGATGTTTTTTCGCGAGAAATGGGGAAATGCCTAGTTTCAGTGGGCAGTTGAAGGTTCTAAACTCAACCAAACTAGGTGTGACCCTGTTTGAGTTGGTTCGAAGCGCCCTGTCCACCTTCGCACAGCTGGGGCAAAGATCCGTGAAAGCTCGAGGTGTCGATCGTCGTTTGGCGCTCGATCTCTAGGAAGCAGCTTCCCGGGATTCAGGGGGCTCGGCTCACGGGTGGTTCCCATGGTTCCCCAAAGAGCCGTGTGTGGATAGGGGACCTCTGGTTTTCCAAACCCTTATGCCATGGTCATTGTTTTGATAGGAACCCTTACTCCTTTGCTGAGGGCCATGACTATCCGTACCGTCTCCAAATAAAGGTGCCCTTTGCAAGAAAGAAACTCGGTCCCGAAACGCCTGCGGCAGGCATAGGGAGGAGCTGTTTATTTGCTGGCCAAGTGTTGCGAGCAGCAAGAGGAACCACGGACCCCGCATCTCAACCCTCGCCATTTGAATAACATGCCTGCGTCGACGCCTGAGAAGGGCTCTCCGGGGCGCCGGCGAGCAGATGAAACACGATCTTCAGCGACTGCCTCTGCACAAAGTAACCTCGGCATCCAAAGGAAAAGACTTATTCGCTCGGTGACACCAGAGCTCCATGCCTCAGTTGGCCTTCTTGGGCCGTTTTGGCCTTCACACTGGATTTGCCGGAATGTCAGGGGCTCGGGGTTTGAGAATCAGAATGGGCTTCCCACAACTTCCCGCCCCATCCGCCCATCCTCACCTCAAAAACCTATTGAATCGTTTCCGCCAAATATGAAGGCTTCCCTTTGAAATCCCTCAATCAATCAACCAGGTGAATCCATTGCTGGGCCGTCAGCTCCCGGAAATCCCACCTCGCACACCTGCTCAAATGATCTCAAACCCTCCAACCCTCCGCCTGATTCTCCAGAATACGACTTGACTTGCGGCCGTGGCCATGGAAAAAACGGGCACCAAGTGGTTGGTACTTGATTGGTAGAACAGATGGTACTTGATTTTTTCAGAAAGCACACCCCTCTCCAAAATAAAAAGAGAGAAAAAACCTTTGCCTGGTAGAAGGAACCCCTCTCCAACCAAAAACGAAAAACGGACGGGGGAGGGGGGGAACCTGGGTGCCCCGGGTTCCGCGCTCGCCGCCCTCTCCGCCCTCTCCAAGGCCCCGGGCCCCCGATCAGCCCGATCCACCGCTCCCGAAGCTCCCGCGAGACCCGCGCGAAGCCGAGGCCCGGCACGTCCACCATGCGGAACCGCGGCAGCGCCTGCAGCGCGCGAGCGCGAGCCGCGAGCGAGCCTCGAGCGGGGCGCGAGCGGGGCGCGAGCGGGGCAAGGGAGGCGCGCAGAAGACCTACGACGTACCGATTTGTTCTTGGCCTTGACCTGCAAAACCTCGGATCTGCTAAAAAGTTTACTGTAATGCTTGTGGGTTATTCGGAATATTCGTTTGTGAGAGTATCCCTTTTGGACTTGTGTTACAAGAGGGAAACCAAAAGGCCAAAAGGAAAACCGCGATTATGTCTATATATTTTGTTGGGGGGGAGGTTCCCCCTGGTTTTGACGCAAAGCCGCGTGTTTGCAAAACGGGAATCGAGGACGGGAAACCACGAAAGTGGGAAACCGGGAAGCGGCCCTAACTCGCTTGCCCACCCACGTAGTCACTCGCGTACCCGCTGACTCATGTTCACTAAAAAGGCTCCCTCAACGTATTCTCTCATTGCGCTGACCCCTCCCTCCCACTCACTCACTCACTCACCCACCCACCCACCCACCCACCCACTCACTCACTCACTCACTCACTCACTCACTCACTCACTCACTCACTCACTCACTCACTCACTCACTCACTCACTCACTCACTCACTACCCAGGATTCATGAACTCCTCACTCATTATAGAAGGGATCCGGGAACACTTGGAAAGTTGGCACCCTTGTCCATTGAGACACATTCAAGTTCCGTTTCATATTTGGTCAGCCTTATATGAAAGCAAGGTCAAGAGAAGACCCCGGATGAGGTTGTTCCCAAAAGCCGCACCGCCAAACCCTGCGGCCCGCGCAGGGTGCCCGTGGTTCACATCGAAGAAGTCCATGGTCTTCGTCCTTCCCGGCCTCGAAATCGTGCGTCCCAAACGGCTCGTGGAGGTCTCTCTCAAAATGGTTCGCACAGACATGTCTCCACGGGAGTCCCAAACCCTAAAAGTCCCCAAAGTCTGCCACTGATGTTCCGTCAGAAAGGGTGCAGAAAGGGTCCCCAGTTTGGGCACCGCAACAGGAAGAACCATTTGCCTTGTTCGTCAGTTTGCAGCTTGTCCCGCCATGTTCTCCCCAAACCAACGATGGACACTACCAATGCCAACAACTTTGTCGATTGATATGCCGGTCAAACCACAAAGCAGCGGACTTCCATCCGAAACCTCCCAAGGACTGTCATCCTGACCGAAACGGCGCGACAACAGCACCCCGAACCCAAGATGCGCCAAGGTGCTTGTGGCAACCTCAAAACTGGGTCCGCCTGATTTCTATAATATTTTCTATAACACGCGTTTGTCTCAAATAGAATCCGGAATCCTGGCTTCCCTCCGCCTCTTTTCCAGCTCCAGGAGCTTGGCATTGGCTAAAAGCTTTATTCGAAGCCTGTACAATCTCCTGGCGTGCCCTTGCAAGCCATGGAGCGGTCGCCAAATCCTCGCCCCTTGGCCTTCTAAGATCAACTGTTCTAAGATCAACTGAGTTCAATCAAAACTTGGCATTGAAACAGCCTACCCCAAACCGTGTAAAGAATGAAATGGGTGCATATCCGCAATTTGCACTGTTGGTTGGGAGTGTCCCTTCCCCAAATCGGTTTCGATTGTGGCTCAGCTCCACCCAGTTCGACGCTTCGTGGTCATGGGTGAGAGTGACATTGCGGCTTGAGCGCCGTCTTGAGAAACCCTCCAGGCTTCTGTCTCCATGGACTGACCAAGGAGATGAAAGAAATCAAAAGCTACTCCCCCGCAGATATCTGGAACCAGCAAAACGGGGTCCTCTTCAAAGAGGATTGTTTTGGGGCTCCATGTGAATCTGCAGGCGAGTATGCGCAAAACAAGAGATGACAAGAGGATGTTTCTGGCTCAGTTGGCCAACACAAAAAGGGAGCCATTGTGCTCCATCTGACGGATGCTGTCGAGATCGTTTGCGAGTACGTCAGGATCGGAGTGCACCAAGACGCACATCCCCACAAGGCTGAAGAGATCAATGGTCTTCTCCACCCGGTGACCGGCAAGAAGGTTCTCCTCCAGAAACACCACGGACTGGAGCTCTCGAACCTTCTGGAACTGCGTGGCTTCCACCTGGCCCTCGTGGTAGGACACCAGCATGGACACCTGCCCGGCAGCCTGAAAGGGAGGCGGCACCTCCGGAAGGCGATGGAAGGCCTCGGCGTCCAGGAAGGCGTCCACGCACGCATCCACCTGGGTGTACCCGGTCATGGCACGCGCCAAGGGCATCCAAGAACCCGCCGCGCCGTGGCAGCGGCTGTTCACTTCCACCAGGCAAGGCCCAGTCTCGGTCATCATCACCTCCGTGTGGGTGGCACCGTCGGTGATGCGCAAGGCATCCAGACAGCCGCGAGTGTAGGCGATGAGTTGCTGGGCTACCGGGCTGTCGGGCAAGACGCACTGCTGCCCGAAGCACACGAAGCCAGCGCCGTTGGCAGGGCGGCGGTCATAGACCCAGACCATGGTGGTCTTGTGCACGCCATCGCGGGAGACATGATCCACGATGTACTCCGTGCCCTTGAGATACTCCTGCAACAAGACGGCGGCGCCCTGGGCGCCACACTTGCGTTGAGACGTCATGAGCAGTTGGAAGTGCTCCTCCACCTCTGCCAGGCTGTTGCAAAGCTTCACCCCATCGGAGCCAGCAGACCTTGGTCAATCTGACCGGGTCCCTGCAAAGAGGGAATATGCGCGCTTTGCCTCGGGGAAATCATTTGCCCCACCCCACCCCACCGAAAAGACATACCCAAAGATCGCCTTCCCTCCAATTGGTGTTATGGATTGGCGGTTTGGTCGTTAAGGAGGGGTTTCCCGTTTACCCGCCACAAGAACCAATTTGTCAAATGGCCATGGGTCAAAAGCCCGTACCCCCAGTGAACATCCCCATCCCCACAAAAATACACTAAAATGGGTGGTGCTACCCCGAAATGGTACCATTGGTTTTGACCCACAGCCAAATCCCAAACCACCAACCTCCAGACCAACCAGAGGGAAGCTGAAAACGCCCCAGGGACTCCACGGGCTTCACGATCATCGGCAGCACCTCCGTCTCCGCGAAGTCCTGCACCTCCGACCACTGCCTCCCGCACACCGAGCGCACCGACCGCAGGCCGAAGGCCTGCACGGCGTCCTGCTGCACCTCCGCAGCAGGGGCTGGGCAGACGAAAAAGCCAAAAAACAACTCGGAAGATCCGGGGAAAGAAGAGAACCACATACTTTTGATGGGACTGGACAAATTGGAAAAAACAAATCCCAACCTCAAAACATCGGGGGAAATGAGGAAAACCACCTAGCCTTGACGTTGGCTTCTGTTGAAAAAAACAACGACAAAACATTATGGCTTCCTCTTTGCTTAGATAGATAGAAGCCGGGCCAACAAAAAACTAACAATCGGCCATCCTGCGAAGGGTTGCTTTTGTCAGCCCTCAGACCTGCTTGTCGCGGCGGTTCGGCATACCGGTTGTGGTGTTGCCTCGCAGCCCCATGTGCTCCGACCTTGGATTCGGTCGTTGGATACCTTCGGCATTTGCTTCTTTTGGTGTTCCTTTGAAGTAGACAAGAGGCTGGTTGCATACACAACATGTGAAACCAGCCCTCCCTCCAGACTGTTGTTGATTTGTAAGGAAACAAACATGCTTTGCGGGGGAAAGTACTGTAGTGAGTTGATGACTTTGGGAATGGGGAAGGCGGGCATTGTTGCTAATTGGCAAAGTCAATGTTTGCCTGGCGTGAACTTTGTCCATCTGCAGCAGGGGGACGCGTCCAAACGCTGCCAGACTTGTCTGCTGTTTAACTGCTGCCTTTCTCTTCTTGATTCCCACACCCCGCTTGATTCCCTGCTTAGAACCAGCAAAATAAGGTACAGCAAGACCACCTCCAGGTATGGTATCCCGTGGCAAGGAAACCCTTTCCGTTCCCCCCAAGAAAAGGAACAGAGTGGAACCGGCTAGTACGATCTAACACCCTCCCCCCCACCCCCGAGGCCCACATAATCCAAACGCAATAAGGGGCGAAATAGTTGCAAACGTGATTTTCTCCTCGTGAGGCAGTTTGGGCTGATGGTACCCCGCAACCGTATTCGAAGTAGTCAGGCCATGGGAAGGCCGCACATAGGTGTGTCTCAATATAATGTAACCTCTAGAATTGGCGTTTCCCTTTAAACCAGCCCGAAGGAGTACCTCAAAGACATATGAAGTCTTTGTTCTTATTTACCGGGCTCCAGGTTGGGTACCTATTTGCGGGTACCTACTTTTCACCCACACCCCTATGGCTGTGGTCAAAACCAATGATACCATTTTCGCCATTTTGGGTCTATTTCAGTGGGGATTGGGAGGTTCACTGGGGGTACGATTTGGCTTTTCACCCATGGCCATATGGCTGTGGGTCAAAAATAGGTACCCCAAATGGAACCCTGGCAAGTGGAAGCGCGGACCAAAACCTGTGGTCCCCTGGTGGTTCAATTTTGAGCCATCCATATCCACAGAGGGCAAAACCAAGCGACAAGGCATCGGCGATCTTCACCCCGGTCTCGCCCCCACAAATCACCGCCAGCGGCTCCTGCGGCTCCTGGCCACCTGCCGCGCGCAGTGCGAAGGCGGTCGCCTCCAGGGTGTCTTGCTCGTCCACCTGGGCTCTCTACATGGTGGGTCAAAACCCAGGAAACCCCAAAGGGAACCCTGGTAAGTGGAAACATGGACCATCCTGGTGGTTCAATTTTGACCCACAGCCACATGAGCGTGGGTCAAAACCCACAAAACCCCTGGCGAAACATGGTGGTACATGGGTCTTCATCCGCCCAAAAATGGAGGCATAAGTTATGACCCATGGCCATACGTCCCCTTTAGCACCCCAACAGGAAACTCATAAGTTGGCCTAACCTCCTTGCGTGTTCCACCACCTTAGTAAGCAAGCTACAACCTTCGCTATCAAGTTACCAAAGGAAGTTTAGAAGGAACTTCCACACTACTGGAACTAATTGGAATTCATTAGCCAGCACTAAGAATGCGCGCACTCGCGTGCGGGCATTGAACACCAAATGCACTGCGCGTGGAACAGCTACAAAAAATGCTGCGGGGGAAAGAGGCGAAAACGTGGCCCCGTGCGTGAAGTCCGCTTCGCGGCATGCGCGCAAACCACCTCTGCGGCGATCTCGGAGCCGGGGCGGAGTGGGAGACGGTGCGTTCTTCAGCATCGAAAGTTAAGCCGAACTTTCGTGGACCTTCGAAAACTTGTTATTTGTTGCGTTTATCACTTCTCTTGCAGAACCCTCTGTGGACTTTCGGCCGCTCAGCCAACAAAAACTCGGTGTTTCTTGCATTGGTTCACTTTCGTTGGCTGCACAGAGAAAACGAGAAACAAAGAGAGAAAGCGGGAAAGAGAAAGAAGAGAACCAAACAAAGAAAAAGAAAAATAAGAAAAGGAAAAGTAGAAAGCGAATAGAAACAAAACGACAAAGAAGAAGAGAAAGAAGAAAAACAATACAGAAGGGAAAGAGAAAGAGAAAGCGCAAGAAAGAGAATGAGAAAGAAGAAAGAGAAAGAAACAAAGATGGAGGAAGAAAAAGAGAAAGAGAAAGAGAAGAGAGATAAAGATAAAGAGAAAAGGAAAGACACGGGGCAAGAGGAAGAGGAAGAGAAAGAGCGAGAGAAAAAGAGACAAAGATAAAGATAAAAATAAAGACAAAGAGGAAGAGGAAGAGAAACAGAAAGAGAAAGAGAGATAAAGATGAAAATACTTGGAAAAATGAAGGAGAAGAGAGAAAGAGAGAAGAGGAGAAACAGGGAGAGGCAGAGAAAGCGGTAAGAAAAAGAAGAAGAGGAAGACGACGAGAAATCAGAAGCGGGAGAGGAAGAGAAAGAGGAAGAGAAGGGAAAAGAAGCGTGCTCCGAACTGTAGTAGTTCTTAGTTGTTTGAAACTCCTGCCCCCGGCTCTGTCAGCTTTACCAGTGACGGTTTAACTGGGGTTTAGCCCCCCCCCCCAAAAAAAAAAGGAAGCAAATATGTTGGGGGAAAAAAATGGGAAAAAAAAGAAGAAACAAAGAGGAACAACAAAAACAAAAAAAAACGCTATCTCCTACTTGCTAAGTCCACCAGGGAGTCCAACCACAAACGGATGGCTTTCTCTTGAACCAGCCCAAAACATAGAGGTCTGCCATTCAAACAACCTCAAAGGGACTGATTTCCCCCCAGTGAAAGAAGAGTTGAGCTTAAAGATCTCTGCCCCTTCGATAAACAAAGGAAAAAATGGGATTGCCCCACTGATCCCTTTTTCCCCACAACCAACCCAGCGGTCGGGGGTTTGCTCCCAAAGGGGTGGGTTTCGGTATCATCCGACCGGCCTCGGCCAGGAACTTTTCTGGGAAACCCTCGGCCGCCTGGGGCAGGTGGCCCCGGTTCTCGCCACACTCCTGGGACGCAAGCCTCCGTTCAGGCCGTGCGACTTCTTTGAGCAACCCGGCCCCTGTTGTGGCCAGCTGGGAGACGCCCAAACAAATACCCTCCCTCCCACTAACATGGCACCTGACAGGGGTCACTTGAAAAGGAAAATGATCTTCCAAGTAACTCCCCACAGGAGCCATGCTGGTTGGAGGGAGGGTATGCGTTCAGATCATGTGCTACATTTTGTCTACCGCAACAAGTAGGATGGTCTTGGAGGAGACCCAAGATTTCTCCTTGGATTGAACTGAAACCAATGAAAAACCCACCATTCGCTTGCGGGCGTGGCCAAATCCCAAGTGGAACACATACCCCAAAAAGTGCAAAACTGTCCTATCAAGCAAGGAAACGAGGCCTCAAAAAGCCCACTTCACCCCCACCCTTTCCCCCTGATTTCCTCCAAGTAAGCCCCTATTCACTGCCCCAAGATGGCGAAGTTGGTGGGCTTTCCCTTTGGCTTCCCTTTCAACCAACCCCAACAAACAAAAATGTTCCCTTCAAACCAACCCGCAGGCTCCTTGGTCCACAGGGCAATCACCGCATAGCCCCGGAGGTCCAACTCGGGTGCCAGCATGGCTCCGGTGGAGTAAGGGTCCACCAGCACCACCCGAGCTGCGGACTCCGTGGATTGACCCCGGCACCTGACTCGTTCGATCATCCCTTGGTAAAAGCGAATCATTCCCCTCAAACAAAAACAACAAGCAAGAATTCCAAAAGTCAAAAACGAAACCACTGAAGGTGGGTTTAAAACTGCTCCAAACTCTCAAAATCTAGAAATCTAAACTGTAGGGCTGCGAACCGCCAAGGCACATGGCAGAGCTTTTGTTCAGCGAACTCAGCGCTGATAGGAAGACTCTCTTGAGCAAGACTCTCTGTTCCCAGCGGGACCGGTTTTCCGAAGCCTTCCTTTCCTGCATTAAACACTGCTCAGCTCAGCTGAGCAGTGTTTCATGCTGGTATGTGGCTGGCTTGCAACCGAAGGGCCTTGAAAATGGAGGGAGAGCCCCCTTTTACGCCCGTGACGAAGAAAACGGGTGGGTCAAACCAACCCACTGCAAGTTGAACTTTTCTCTAGCCGCTGGTTGAAGCCTTCGTCATTGTCCAAAGGATGTAAAGGCACTTGCAATACTGGAGGGTTTCTCGCCCCAAGAATGGATCGATGATGTCTGGAACCCTCATTTAAAGCAAACCTCATTTCCCCAAGCACCCGGAACCAAACGGCGCTCATTCCGGCACCGAAGCACTAAAAAATGGAAAGCCCCCCCTCCCAAAAAAGAACAAGGGAGGGGAACTGGTCACCTTGCGGCACCTTTTGAACTAAACATTGGCGCCCAAATTGGGCAAGGCTTCCCGGCCGAGTCGAGGTGGGGGCGAGCGCTGAGCGGTTCAGCAGCATGTTGACCTCGATAGAAAACGGGTTTGAATTTGCGCCTTTTGTGGATTTCACCTCTTCCCAAGCCCCTGTTGGCCCTTTTTTAGCAATTTCTTTCAGTACTCTTTTAATATTCTAGAGAGGTGGATCAACAGAAATCCCTTTACGTGGGGTTGGGCCTGCTATTGGTGGGCGAAAACCCAGTTCATCCAGCTAGCAGGTTATCCAGATACAAGTCCCGGAGTTCATCCTGGCGGGTTCGAACCGTGGCGAGGCACGATTACACGAACTACGATGCAGAAAGAAGCCGCGCAGATGGTCAGAAGCCGCCTTTGCTGCTACATCCAAGGGAAATCGACTGATCCAAGTTCCGTGGGTGTTTGGAGGCAAAGGGTGCCCTGTGGTCTGAAGAAAGGGCAAAGGAATGCAGCGGCCCACTTTTTGAAGACGCGGAATCCGCTAGCGTCTTCTCCTTCTTGAACATCCCGAGGAAAGCCAGATGAAATGGCACCAAAAGGTGCTGTTAAAACTGGGGAGTTAAATGGTAGGTCCAGAAAAGGTAGAAAATAGCCCAAACGTTTGAGGGCACCGCACCAATCGAACAAATGTAAGCTTCCAAACTTCATTCAGGCATCCCCCGTTGCTTTGATTTAGGGAAAAAAACAAAATTGCGTGCTGTTTGGCACTCAGTCAAACCTAAAAATACAAACATGGGGGATCTCACGAGGATCGAGTCATGGATCTTGCGAACCCACTAGTCACTAGCCGATGTCTCTTTCAGTGATGAACCTATGAACCAGAGACAAGCCACCCACAACTTGGTGCGAAATGGATTTTGGGTTGCACTGGAAATTGAGGGACTGGTCCCTACAAGAATCCATGCCTCACACACAAGAGAACTCCGACCTGGCCAGCCACCAACGGAGTTTGGATCGCATCGCCAAGCTGAGACCCGCTCTAGGGAAGACTTGCCCACGTTACTGCGGCCAGCAAAGACCACCTGCGCGGCCGATGGACCCCGGTACCCTCCCTGTAGCAAGAGATTCTCTTGCGACCAAATTCAACAGGGAGGTAGTGCCAACTAGCAAACATAGGAGCATCCATGTCTTGCAACTGTCTATGTGTCAAACTAGGGGACCTTCAAAAAAGGGCGGCTTCCCTTGTTTTTGCCTTTACACCAACCCCAAAACGGGTACCAAAGACACACAAGAAACCTAACCCTTCCCGTCCAATCCGCTCCTCCGGGCAAGCGTTGTCTTCCGGAGCCTGCGGCAAGTCCCACACCTGCGCGGACTGCGAAGCAAGCGACGAGGGGATGGTCCGTCGGCATGGCGCGGGCGCGCGCGATCCGAACGTGATCCTTCTTCTGGGTAGCGCGGCCTGGATTTCCGGCTTCGGGATTTGAGCCGCTTCCTCTTACCATGTCACCGTGTCACCTACTTAAGTTTGTCTTTCAGTGGAGTTCTGGAGTGAGGATTTGAAGCCCGAAATCTCTCTCACCAAATCAGAAGGTACCACCGCAACCTCCAAAGGTGAACAAGGAGACCGAGGAAAACCATGGTGGACCAGAAGTAGCTTGCAGATGCGGACCTGGGATGTCAGCCGAGCTGACCATGGCCAGAAGGGAACAGCTACCAGTTGTCCCACATAATCATTCTGAAACAAATTGAAAATGCCCCAGCTTGATATGGAACCTCCGAAGACCCATCTGTAGAGGAAGCTCTCTTAGGGGGACCCGTGTTTGGGCTTCCCTGTTGATTGGCAGGGGAGCACTAAGTTGAGCATCTACGTCAAGGGCGCCGACACCATGGCTCAATGCCTCGCACTCGAATCGTCCCAAGATATCAAGTTCAGACAACACTTACTTGCAGTGCTTGAGGCCGAATTGAGAATTATCTTGGAGGGAATAGCCTTCAGGAATTGTTTTTGGAAGATTCTTCAGAAACTGGTTAGACGTGAGATCAGGGTGGCACACCCGTATAACCAGGGCTATGTGTGCGCACCATCTGCTGGCCCCGTTGTTTCTGAAAAGGGTCGTTCTCTACGGATTCCTTATTTGTTGACAAGCCAAGAAAACAACTTGCCGCCATTGCCGCCCATACATGCCCCAATTTCAAGCAGGCGCCAAAGGACAGTAAAATAACAACCGTGTTTGTCTGGTAGTGGCTTGTAAGTTTGGTATGCTGAAGAGGAATCCATTACCACATTTCGTGATTGGAACCCACACTCGCGGACAACATGACTTGATCCCAACAGCCGAGCACTGGTCGCGAGACACATGCACCACGGCGCGTAATTACTCCGTCAAGAGGCAAATGCTTTAAACACTGAGTTCTACTCAGAGCAGCCAAAACGAACGACCCAGAAGAGGTGCAGAAACAGCAAGTTACTCGCAGAACCTGTGCTTCGCTGCGTTTAGCTTCCTCGGCTGTCGAAACTAGGCAATCTGTGCACCGGGGGTTCACCCTTCGAGACGAATTCGTCAAATCTCCGGTCCAGGGGCTCATCCAAACGTTGGAGCCCAGGGCTTCGAATAGGAGCCAAAACCTGTAGACCAGAGGCTCAAATCCCAGCGAGTCGGACCCGTTTGGCTGTGGGTGAAAACCCCGTCCCTTCCGTGAATCCCCACTAAAATAGGTTCGAAAATGGGTGGTGCACCTACCAACCAAAATGGGATCCCATTGGTTTTGACCCACAAGAGGTACTCAAAATGGAACCCTGGTACCTGGAACCATGGACTAAAACCTGCGGTCCATATCCCGGTGGTTTAATCTTGACCCACACCCATGTCTAAGGAACCCAATAGCTGAAACCACCACTAACATAGACTAAAATGGGTGGTGAATTCACCTACCCCAAAATGGTACCATTGGTTTTGACCCACACCCATTTCAAGTCCTAAGAGGCCAACTTGCCTTCTTCAGCCGGGTGATACGCTTCACCACGTTCACCCCGATGGCCTCGCGAGCGAGGGAGAAGACCGGAACCCCTGGGTCCGAACCATCGAAGCCATGTGCCACCGGGAAAAATGATCCAGATGCTGACTGTTAGCCTAGGTATGCAGAGGGCCTCCGAAGAAAAGAACCGGACACGGCCCCTCGGCGGCTCGCAAAAACCCGCCGAGGTTTGATGGGCTCTGCAAACTCGCCCGATCCGCATCCAATCACATGCAAGGTGCCCGGTTGGAGAAATATCCATGGATTCCACCGAATGGGATGCGGTCCGAACTAATTCGATCCGTGAAATTCATGCTCCAGGACCAGGAAATAAGTGGCTAACCTTTTGGGACCTTCGCCAAGATCCGGCCGGTTCGCGCAAAGCGCAAAGGAGTTTCAACTTGGCCCAAATCTGAAATACCACAACAAAAAGCTCGGAATGTGTTTCACTTTTAGTCGGCCCCGACATAGAAAATCCATTTGGAGGAGACCCGAAGCACACCTCGCATGCAAAGCTGGTGGAAACTTCCCGGCCTCGTAGGTGAAGGAGTTCTTGGGGATGGTCAGTGCCTGGCAAACGCAGACCCAAGTGGCCCTTCCGAACGAAACGGCGTCCAGCAATTTTCAAGCCCTGGTTGCTTTTTGGAACGCTCTTAAACGGAGCCCGTGAACATGTGTCTAAACAGTTTGGACGCGGCGAATCTGCGGATCCCCCCTCAGGACTTTGAAAGAGGACTGAAAAGGACCGAAAGACAAAAGAGCAGGTGATCCACAAAAGGCGCATCCAAACCGTTTTCTAGAGATTGATATGCGGCCTTGTTTCTTCATATGGTTCTGCGAGAGTCATGTCTTCATCCGTCAACAGCAAAGGGCAAAGACGGGGATCAATGCCTAGGTGGATGGCGGAGATCCGTTGCTCTTGAAAACCCCCCCGAAAGCCTGCGACCATACGTGGCTCCCGCACAAAGCCACCGCCTTCAAAGGGGCCCCAGTGCCGAAAATCGAACCCGCAGCCGACTTGTTCGAGGGCTCCCATGGTCTTGTCACGAAATTAAGGCAACGTAATTGCACTTCGTGTCCTTTTGGCGTGTCTCTGAAACCAACCAAAAGGCGGTCAAGATCACCCCAATGCCAGAAAGCTGACCAAAAGTTGATCTTTTAAAACAGGTGATGTTTGGAACATAGGTGAATCTGTGGAAAGCCTGAAGCCGTCATTCGGACTGTGTGGGGGTACCCCAAAACCTTGCAGATTATTCAGGTGTTGCCCCGAAAAAATGTCACCCGTCTTCCCATTCGCCCCAGTCCTCCATCCACTCCAGCACCCGAAACGACAACTTCACCGCGTGCGCGCGGCCGCACGACCTCAAGGAATCCGAGAAGGCACACCAGGCAGCCCAACTGGAAACCTGAGCCCCTGAAAGCGGCTCACCCCAAAGCTTTGGGCAGACGAACTTCCAGGCAGACTCTTGGATCAAAGCGTTTGCTTGTTGGCGAGAAGGTTATGAGACTGAACCAACGCCTATGTTCAAGCAGCAAACCAACCAAAATCATGTGGATGGACAAATCCCACACCTGCTAGGATCGACCGCGCCCAATAAATAAATACTTGGATAAGCCACCTACTAACCGGGGCGAAATTGGTCCATTGACAGTGGGACCTGGCCATGGTTCAAAACCAATGGCATCCCATTTTTAATGAGGGGCCCCAACCCATTTTAGAAACGATTTTTGTGGGGATTGGGATGTGGGGGTACGGGATTTTGACCCACAGCCAAATGGGCCTGACTCGTTGGGATTTGACAGGTTTGTCCTGAGCTTTGGCTCCTGGGATTCGAAGCCATGGGTTCCAATGTTTGGATTTGGAGCCCTGGACCAGGCCACCTCCCGGGCTTCTTCACATGGGTCCCTCGGGCCCGGGCAGAAGCAGCTCGTTGAAGGGCTCGGTGAAGCACTGCTGCCTCGCGTGAGTCTCGCCAGAGGTCGGAACCAAACGGACCTGCAGAACCAAATGGCCACAACCTTCAAAGAAAAACCAAAAGGGACCAACGGTTTTCGGGCTCCAAAAGGAGACCTGAAGATCCAAAGGCCATTTGGGTATGGGTCAAAATTAAACCACCAGGATATGGACCGCAGGTTTTGGTCCTGGGTTACATTTACCAGGGCCCCATTTTGGGTGCCTATTTTTTAACTGACTGCAATTTAAAGAAAAACCACAAGGGACCAACGGTTTTCGGGTTCCAGAAGGAGACCTGAAGAGCCAAAAAAAGTCATGCCCCTCTTTTCTGAGGCTCAGAACTTCTGGTCGGGAATGGTTAAGGAAAGAATCCGTGGGAGCCATGGGAAGGTCACGGATTTCGGCGAGATTCGTCCCGAATAGTCACTGGACTATCAGCTTCCCACCAATTGGGTGGCCTGGAGCCGAATCGGTGGTTTGGTTAGGGGTGTCATGTACCCTCTACAAGAACCAGGGGTTCAAATCCCCAAACCGCCAATCCAAACCATCAACTACGGGTTACCTGACACTAGTGATTATGAGTCACTGTGAGTCACTAACAGTCGAAATCAAAATCCCCCAAAACCACTTGATGCTTGCTACCCGTGGGCAAAACAGAACAATACTGGTTTAGTCAAATTGGGGCTCGAGTCCCATTTTGCGACATGTTGCAGCCCTTGTCTTTTTGGGAATGTCTTCCATGGTAGGGATTTGAAGAGATCCCAAGCGAGGGGTTTCCATCCGAAAGGGAAACTGGGTTGAAGACTGGGGGCAATGGACAAATGGAAGCCATAAGTGGTTTTTTGGTTTCAGGTTTTGTTGAAAACACGAGGGCAGGCCCAACTCTGGCCGGAGATGGAAAACCGGCCCAGGAAACTTGATGGATTCCATATTTTGGCAATCACTCTTACTCTGGGTTAAACAAAAAACAACGCAGTTAAGACAAAAACCAATGTTTGAGAAGCTCGCGTTGATCACGTTGTTTTAACCCATGCACTTTGCTGCTTTGAAAGGGTGTGAGTACCGGCTTACAGGCTTACACGGGGAAAGGGGCAGGACAAATCGGGCACGGTTGCCCTCTTTGCAACAATGGAAGTGATTCAAGGGGGTGCCCAAAAAGATAGTAATTGTCCCACTCCCTCATGTCAGCTTCCATTGGGTTGGAGTCACTCACCTTATGTGGCCTTGGGCGTGGCTCAAGATTTTAGAGCCAGGGGACCGCAGGTTTCAGTCTACTTGCCCGTTTGCCTCATACTTCCATTTTGGCCCCCCAGCCAGACAGGTACCTGGTGGACACTTAAGCCTCATACCTCCGGGCCGCAAGCATCCAAGTGATAGCCGGACAACTGAGGATCATGTAGTGGGTCAAACATGGGTACCCAAAATGGAACCCTGCGGTGCCCTGGTGCCTTAATTTTGACCCATACCCATTTCAGCCTCCCGTCCGCTTCGTCCACTTCGGCCGCCATACACCGTGCCTGTTGGGCGTGGGCAGCAGCCGCACCTTCTCCGCCCACGGCCCAAGCTTGGGGATGTGCTCCACCACCTCCGCCACCGCCTCAAGCGAAGCCCGTCGAGTGAGTGGCGGGAATGTAAATCCTGCAGAACCTTCCTGGACTACAGTTTTTTTCTGTAGGTCGACCCTAATATAAAAATGATTGGGGGGGTTCGCTGGCAAGAGTCGTTCTTCCAAGTAAAATATCATGTCACTGAAATAATGTTGGGTTCTTTGCAGCCCCCATGAACCCAAACAACCAAAAGAGCTCAGAATGATCAAAAACCAAATACCCAGAACCATGAAGTTCTCATCCGAATCGACTCCCATCTCTCAGTCGCACACCCGCTGAACTTCCTTGTTGGTCTCAACGCCGCTGAGATTGTCTGAGCTATCTGCGCAGGCGGACGCAAAAGACCCGGTCCCATGTGGGAAGCGGCTCGAAAAGGAAAACTCGATTTCAAGGAAGGTTCGGCAGGAACCTTCTTTGGATTGTCTTTTGATGGAATCCAAGTGGGGAGTGGGCCATGAGATATTGCCTTTGCCAGGATTGCTCGATCCGCAGGGTAGAAAAAAATGCGAACCCCTGGTTCGATCGGGAACCGCTGGCTCTGGTGGCTTTCATGTTGGTAGAGAGAATAACTATTTCAGTCCAAGGCAAACATGAAGGAAATTGCTAGGTCGGTTCTAACCGCGCCATCGGGGGAGTGGGAGTTGGGCATCCCTCTCTTTTGGGGGATGCAAGGGGAAACTGCGTACCCTTTACCCAAGTTTCCGGTATACCCTATCCAAAAACATGGAACCTGATTGCGGGTCCTGGCTTTCAAAATGCCCCATTTCACCAGTCCCGCCTCGCTTCTCGCGCTCCTTGAGGATGGTGCCCGTCAAGCCCTCAAACGCCGTTTCGAAGCACCAGGCAAGTTTTGGGCATGAAGTTGACTTAGGGGCCCGTTTAATTTGGTGGGGTCATGTCCACAAACCATTTGTTGAGGCATTCTTAATGGGGTTTCACATTAAGAATTCCAAGCGAGGGAAGCTCCGTACGCCCACGGTAGATGGCACAGTTCCCGGTAGATGTGAGCAAGGGGATGATGACTCCAGAATGGGTTGGAACTGTGCGTACGAATGCTGGTCGGTTTCTCTGGTGGATTCTTTTTCATCCCCCGATCAACCCGGGAAGAGTCACAAGTGGACCCTTGATACTAGACAAACCAGAAACGGGAACCGGGTTGCCAGGGCCTGACTTACTTACTGAGTCTACTGGCAAAAAGAAAAACAAACACAAATACCTTTTGGGCCCTGGCGAGAATGGTAAAGAATCAGGCAACGAAAAGCTTAAAGTTTGCCAAGGAAAGTTGTAGCTCTCCTCAGGGATCCGTATGGGATCAGAAGAGGTCTCCCAAGGTTCGGCCGTGCCGGCACAAGGGGGGGAATCGGCCCACAACGGATCCCTCCAGTCGAGTTCGATGGAAGAGGCTGAGGCCGCGGGTCTGAGACCGAAATCACGACGCGCGAATTCGAACACGACGGCCTTCAGTGCTTTAAGTTCGGCCTGTTGGGTTCACTGGCGTTTCTCCCACTCGGCGACGCGCTGGCAAAAAGGAATGTGGGAAAGCCCTAACACAAACAGAAAAATGATGTGAAACACAGAAAGAGGGTAAGAGGGTGGGCATACAAAGGGAGTCTAGTCCAGGGCAAAGATCCAAATCGGTCAGCACTTTTGCCCCAACCAACCTGTCTGCTCTCCCGCAAGCAGAGCACAGTATCGGGGTCGTTCAATGAATACAATGGGGTTGTGGGTGGAACTTTGAAACCAAGCAAACTGTTAGAACCCTTACACCAGTAGAGCCGGCGAAGCCGGTGGGTGGAAGTTTCAAAAATATAAAAACTATAGTTATCTTTCTCTTTCTTTTCTTGACTCTTTTTCTCCGTCATTCTTCCTTTCTTCCTTTCTTTCCTTCCTTCCTCCCTTCTTTCCTTCTTTCTATCTGTCTTTTCTTTGGTTCTTTCTTTCGTTTGCTTGTCTATCTATCCTTCTCTACCTATCGATACCTAACTACCTATCTATGTATCTCTCGTGTTATCTATCTATCTGCTTATCTATCTATCTATCTATCTCTCTATCTATCTTCTCTATATATCCCTCTATCTCTGTCTCTCTCTTTCTCTATCTGTCTGTCCATCTATCTATCTATTTACCTCTCTATCGATATATCTATCTATCTATCTATCTATCTATCTATCTATCTCTCTATCTATCTATCTATCTATCTATCTATCTATATCTCTATATCTCTTTCTATCTATGTATCTATCTATCTATCTATATGTATATCTATCTTCTGGTTGTTTATCTATCTAACTATTTATCTCTCCATCTATCTCTCTATCTCTCTTTCTTTCTATCTTTCTATCTTTCTATCTCTCTATCTCTCTTTCTTTCTATCTATTTATCTCTCTATCTCTCTCTCCATCTATCTCCCGCGTATCTATCTATCTATCTATCTACCTATCAATCTATCTATCTATCTATCTGTCTCTCTATTTGTCTATCTCTCTATTTATCTATCTCTAGATCTCTCTATGTATCCCTCTGTCTACCTATCTATCTATCTCTCTCTCTATCTGTCTATCTCTCTATCTATCTGTTTATTTATCTCTCTATCTCAGTATCTCACGTGTATATATCAATCTCTCTATCTCTCTATCTATCTATCTATGTTGTAAATTGTCTATAGATCGACCTATCTATCTATCTCTCTATCTACCTCTCTATCTCCTTCTCTCTACCTATCTATCTATCTATCTACGTCTCTATCTATGTATCTATCTATCTATCTATTTGTTTCTCTATCCATCTCCATCTATCTATCTCTCTCCCTCTCTCTCTCTATCTCTGTTTCCATCTATTTGTCTAGCTCTCCTTCTGTCTATCTATCTCTCTATCTCTCTCTCTCTATCCATCTCTCTCTCTCTATCTATCTCTCTCTATCTATCTATCTATCTATCTATCTCTTTATCTCTCTCTCTCTGTCTATTAATCTATCTATCTTGCTCTCTCTCTCTTGCTCTCTCTCTTTTTCTTTCTATCTATCTATCTATCCATCTCTCTCTCTACTTACATGTCTATCTGCCTACCTACCTATCCATGAAATCTATCGATCTATGGATCGATCCATCTATCTATCTAGCTATCTCTCTCCCACGCCTATCGTTCTATCTATCTATCGATCGATCTATCAATCTATCTCTCTCTCTCCACCTATCTAACTACGCATCTCTCTCTCTAGCTATCTATCGCTGTTTCTCCATCTTTCTCTCTCTATCCTCCTAGCTATCTCTCTTCTGATCTATCTATCCGTTTGTCTCTCTCTTTATATACCTATCTATCTATCTCAATATCTATCTATAAATTTCTTTATTTCTTTCTCTCTCCGTGTATCTACCTATCTATCTCTCTATCTCTCTATGTCTCTATCTATCCATCTATCTAGCGATCGACCTATGTATCTATCTACCTATCTATCTCTTTATCTCTCTATCTATCTATCTATCTAACTCTCGTGTTTCTATCTGTCCCTCTACCTATCTATCTATCCATCTATGCATCTATCTCTCTTTCTATCCATCTATCTATCCATCTATTTTCTATCTATCTATCAATCTGTCTGTCTATATATCTACCTATATTCATCCATCTCTCCACCTATCTAGCTATCTATCTATCCATCTTTCTTTCTATCTTCCTATCTATCTTTCTATCTCTCGATTTCTCTATCTATCTATCTACCTATGTATCTATCTCTCTGACTATCTATAAATGTATTTATCTTCTCTCTCTATAGCTCTATGTCTTTGTCTATCTATCTATCTATCTATCTATCTATCTAGCGATCGACCTATCAATTTATCTAACTATCTATCTCTCTATCTCTCTACCTATCTATCTATCTATCTATCTATCTATCTATCTCTCGTGTTTCTACCTGTCCCTCTATCTGTCCCTCTATCTACCTATCTATCTATCTATCTATCTCTCTATCTATCTATAAATTTCTTTACATCTCTTCTATGCATCTATCTCTCTTTCTATCCGTCTATCTATGCAATTATCAATCCATCTATTCTCTATCTATCTATCAATGTGTCTGTCTATATATCTACCTATCTATCTATCTATTCATCCATCTCTTCACCTATCTAGCTATCTATCTATCCTTCTTTCTTTCTATCTTCCTATCTATCGTTCTATCTCTCGATTTCTCTATCTATCTATCTACCTATGTATCTATCTCTCTATCCATCCAAATTTGTTTATCTTTTCTCTCTATATCTCTATGTCTTTGTCTATCTATGTATCTATCTATCTAGCGATCGACCTATCTATTTATCCACCTATCTGTCTCTCTATCTCTCTATCTATCTATCTATCTCTCGTGTTTCTATCTGTCCCTCTATCTGTCCCTCTATCTATCTCTCTATCTATCGATCTATCCATCTACCTCTCTTTCTATCGATCTATCTATCTCTCTGTTTATCTATAAATTTCTTTACCTCTCTGTCTGTCTACCTATCTATCTCTCTATGTCTCTACCTATCTATCTATCTATCTATCTAGCGATCGACCTATCTATCTATCTACCTATCTATTCTCTCTATCTCTCTATCTCTCTATCTATCTATCTATCTCTCTCTCGTGTTTCTACCTGCCCCTCCATCTATCTATCTATCTATCCATCTATCCAGCTATCTCTCTTTCTATCGATCTATCTATCCATCTATCTATCCATCTATCTCTCTATCTATCTATCAACTTGTCTTTCTACATATATATATATATCTACTTATCTATCTATCTATTCATCCATCTCTCCATCTATTATCTACCTTTCTTTCTTTCTATCTTCTTATCTATCTTTCCTTTTCTTGATTTCTCTATCTATCTATCTACCTATCTATCTCTCTCTCTATCTTGTTTTTCTTTATCTCTCTGTCTATCTACCTATCTATCTCTCTATCTCTCTAGGCCTGTGTCTATCTATCTAGCGATCGACCTATCTATCTATCTCTCTATCTCTTTATCTCTCTATCCATCTACCTATCTCCCTTGTTTCTATTTGTCCCTCTATCTATCTATCTATCCATCTATCCATCTATCTCTCTTCCTATCGATCTATCTATCTCTCTATCTATCTATAAATTTCTTTATCTCTATCTACCTATGTATCTCTCTATCTCTCTATATCTCTATCTATCTATCTATCTTTCTATCTATCTATCTAGCGATCGACCTATCTATCTATCTACCTATCTATCTCTCTATCTCTCCATCTATCTATCTATCTCTCGTGTTTCTATCTGTCCCTCTATCTTCTATCTGTCTATCCATCTATCCATCTATCTCTCTTTCTATCGATCTATCTATCCATCTATCTATCCATCGATCTCTCTATCTATCTATCTATCTGTCTGTCTTTATATCTACCTATCTATCTATCTATTCATCCATCTCTCCATCTATCCAGCTATCTATCTTTCTTTCTTTCTATCTTCCTATCTATGTTTCTATCTCTCGATTTCATTTCTCTATCTATGTATCTGCTATCTACTATCTATCTATCACTCTCTCTTTCTCTCCATCTATCTCTCGTGTATCTATCTATCTCTCTACCTGTCTATCTATCTATCTATCTATCTATCTATCTATCTATATGTTTCTCTATCTTTCTTTCTTTCTTTCTATCTCTCTATCTATCCATCTATCTATCTCTCTAACTATCTACTTTCTGTCTAATCTATCTATCTATCTGTACCTAAACTTGCGAAAGTGCCGCGCCTGCCACGAAATCTGCACATGACCTTGTGAAAGCGCTGCGCCTGCCACAAGATCTGTGATTGGCCTTGCGAAAGTGCTGCGCCTGCCACGAAATCTGTACTTGACCTTGCGAAAGTGCTGCGCCTGCCACGAAATCTGTACCTGACCGTTCGAAAGTGCTGCGCTGCCACGACATCTGTACCTGACCTTTCGAAAGTGCTGCGCCTGCCACGCGATTCCAAGCTTGAGAAAACTTGACCTTGTGAAAGTGCTGCGCCTGCCACGAAATCTGCACCCGACCTTGCCAAAATGCTGCGCCTACCATGCAATTCAAACCTTGCGAAACCTCTGCGTCGCCGCGCCAATGGGCCCGGCGCCGAACGTGATCCGAACATGCTCCGAGCCCGCTCCGAGCCCGCTCCGAGCCCGCTCCGAGACCGCTCCGACCAGACGCCGCGGACAGGCTAGCTTTCGCATCTCCGGAGACGCCGATTCGCGCACAGGGCCACGCTTTTGCGACTTTCTCATCTTCGAAAATGCCGATTCACGCACAGGGCCACGCTTTTTGCGACTTTCTCTTCCCCTGCCACACGCGCACGCATTTTTTCTCGTGGGCTTATTCCTTCTCTTGTCATTTGTCTCAGAGAGCTAGCTTCAATTAGTTGCCGTAGCACGGAAGTTCCTTCTAAACTTCCTTTGATAATTTAAAAACAATAAAGCGTAGTACAAATAAACAGGTTTAGTTCAGCAAGAAACCTTGTAACGAGGGTGTTGGGACCCCCGCGGATGAATCAACGAGGGCTCCAGGAATCCAGGAGCCAACACATCGCGAGCTAAGGCCGCAGCCAGCGCCAGCACTTCCAACAGCCTCGGCGGAGCACACTGTTTTGGGCTGCTCACCCATCTGCTTGTTTTGAAGGCGCACTTTGTGTTTTCAAAGGGGTCCAAGTCCCATGCAATTTCTGTGATACGGGGCGTGCGGAAAAATGGGAGGTGGCGCCCTGGTCCATGCCATGGACCAATTTGCACGAAAGAATTGGAGGTCTAAGCCAAGGACCTGCAAATTTTAACCCCCGAATCGGCGCGCTCGCCGAACAACGCGTAGTAAACAAGCAAGAGAAAAACAGAAAAAGGCCGACACTGGACTGAAAGTTTCCCTTCGGACAATCTCCGGCTGGAAGAAGCTACCGAAACAACTCCCAAGCCGAACAGAACGGGACTCGCCAGGAGTGATGTCGGATTGCCTGATGTTGTTTCCAATCACGGCGATATGTCACCCCAAAGGGGTTGACGTTGTCCTCGCAAAGTGCAGACTTCCTCTTGCAAGTTGCAAGGAAACAAAAACGATTACCCTTGAGCGCTGGCCATCTGCATCTGGTTGGTCCCCGGTTGGCTTGATTGAGTGAACCGGGGTGGCTTGCGGTCTTCCAGGCGCCCAAGCAATTGAGCGGCATGCACCTGTCCGGCCGCGGCAAAAGGCGGGTTGCCAATGTTGCACCCTCATAGAATTGGTTGTTGTGGTGTCTTGCCGCTGTTTCTGCTGTTGTTGCCATAGGAGCTGCGGCTAAGACCCTATCAAGATGATTCGAAACGTTTGCTGGAGTCTCCTCCTGGCAGCCCAACATGGACTCCTTCCAGCCGAGGGCTCATACCCCCTTCCGAAGGCACAGGAGTGTCATTTCTGGATTGGATTGAAGTTCCGAGGGGCCAGACCCCCAGCTATTTCTGGCAGCCAGGAAGGGAAACTGTCAGCAAGGAACCGTCCCACCCCTCCCCACACAAGCTTTGGCAAGGTGCCATGTGGTTGCCAAAAAGAGAAGAAACACCTGGCATTATGCCTGGGGGCAATCAACAACTTGAACCCTGAGGGTAAATCCCTCCTTTGGTTTCCGGTCCAATCTGTGTTGAGAAACATCCCTTTGGATCTTTCCCCAAAACCCCGGACTCAAGCCTACCTGGAAATGTTCAATAACCTTGGAGTCCTTTTGGGAACGATACGGAGATAGCACTGTTAAATGAGTGGAACGAAACTAAAACCAATCTTAAAAGTGAATCTGTTCACCCAATCTGACCACAAAGGACGCCCTTCAAACACTGGGTGAGTCTCAAAATTAGAGTCGGACCGGTGTCCTTTCGGTGTGCATTTAAAACCATCTTCAACAAGGGCAGCGGCAAAGAAATGAAGGTTGATCAATATTCCTGGGCCCAAAATGACCAAGGCGAACTGATCCCGTTGGGTGGGTCAAAATTGAACCGCCAGGGGACCGCAGGTTTTGGTCCTTCTTTCCATTTAACGGGGTTCAATTTGTGGTACCTATTTTTGACCCACAGCCAACTGATCCATTCCATTGTGTGGCGAAAGTCACCTTTCGTGGCTTCCCCAATGGTCACCCCATGTTTCCCGGACCTTTTCTTGGTCGCTGTTGACCCCCCTGCAAAAAGTTTTGCTTTTTGGGGGGTTTAGTGAAACACCCCTTGATTTCCCAAAAAGATAAAGTCTAAAGATCCAACCCAATAGCAGTCAAGTCTTCTTCAAATCCCGGTGCTCTCAACGCGCCAGGTTTCGACTCTGCCTCGTCGAAGGGCTCCAGGTGCTTCAAAGTCGCCTCGAGCCAGCGGACGAGCGAATGGAATTGCTCGAGTTGTTGACCAGGATCAAGGAAAACCGCGTTTCACAAACAGGAGGGCCTTCTCAGGCGGTGTCGGTTGGCTTCCTCCCCGCAAAAGACTCTGCCAAAAGGAGGAACGCTATTGTCAGCCCGCGCAGCGGTGACCTCGACCACCAGGAGACTACAACAGGTTTGAGACTTTGTTTCCATTTGCCAGGGTTCCATGTTGGGTACCTATCTTTGACCCACACCAATTTTTGGGGTCTCAAAACGGGTTCCATTGGGGGGTTGCTTTCACCTTAGCTCGGTCCCACGCCTTGATGTTGCCGAAGCGCGCGTGGGCATGGCAAAGCTCCTGCCAGCGCACGAGAAGGCCCGTCGCAAGTCACTCCGATCCGCGCTGAGATGGCATGGGCTGGGACTTGAAACCGGCTTGCCCTGAGATCCCCTGCTAAAAGTTGAGCTTCTAGTCTTCTGGTGGCATAAATGGAAACCCCGACTAAACCAACTCAAAGGCGAGGGCATGGCCGGGAGCCACGAAGAAGCGACCTAAGAAGGGAAAAGTCCTTCGAATAGTTGGGCCACAGCCGCCTAGGTTGCACTCGGTCCAACCGTTGCTTACTCAGGTGAAAGTGCCCTGATCTGTCCTAAGCCAGTTGTGCTTACCAGTTTCAGGGCCAGTGGACATCAACAAGCTTCTCTGAGCGCCACGCTCAACAAATAGCATGAAACAATGTGCACAAGTTGCCAATCATTTCCTCCGCACTTCTTCAAATGGTTCGGTGCCGCAAGGAGGAATGCCTCGGTGAAACAGCTGTTGACCGTCGCTGGTCCTGTACACGTTGCACGCACATTTCCTGCTCGTCTTGAACACCGCAGCCTGATGTTCCAAAGTGTGAACATTGATCTCCCTTACGCTTCAAGAGTCAAGCAAAAATGCACTGCAACGAAACAACTGCGCCTGCGACTGCACCCTTTGTCACTGCACGAGGAGAAACGTTGTGCCCCAGCATCGCCTCAGCCGAGAATAGCCCCTGGCACAAGGGTAATAATTGTGAACCGAGACAAATCCACTCAAAGCACTGCCAATTATACAAGAATTCCAAAACCTAAAGCGAGGTATCCCCAATACAGGGCAATCATCTCATCCAGAGCTCTTTTGAGTGTGGCCTCTTTGGCACGCGAGGAGCAGTTTGCAAGTTCTGCCTGTCTTTACCACATACCTCACGGGAGCGATTCAAGACTGGAGCGGCTTGAAGATGCTCCTGGTGGAATGAGACTAATACGCTGCATGTCTTCCCAAGCGATGTTTGCACCCAAGGACCCAGCGGCGTGAAGACGTGCGCATGTGCCAAGAAGCATTGCGTCAGGTAGCCACCAGAGCAGTTCTCGGAGGCAAGTCAACCTGGGTCACACGCATACAGGAAAATGAACTGTGGTCGCACTCTATCACGAGATCTGCCGAAGAGCGCTGAGTTCGAAAATCTACGTTGAGAGAAGTGCTCCACAAAGGCATGCATACTCTCAGGGACTACGCGACAACAGCCGGCCACGAACGCAATGATGGGCCTTGGAGTCTTTTGCAGGCCTCGCCTCTGTTGCACTTCTGCACTGCTGATGTCACGCAAGTCGCAGAGCAACTCTGTCCGGCAAATCTGAGTAGAAGGATCATTCGGGGTGGCGTCGACTGGCACCAGAATGAGCTCGGAGGCTACTTCAAAGCCATGTCCAGCATAGAAGATCGGCACCAGAGGGTGCTCATAACCGCTTATCTTTCGCAGAATCTTTTCCGGAAGCGCGCGAAGCTCTGCGCCTGTTGCCTCTTCAAGGACGACAACAGGCAGCAGAATTCGCACCAGCAGCCTCCTGACAGGATGCATAGATGCAAGGTTGAAAAGCGAAGTCTCACCACTGAGGCTAGGACCATGGATGTGTGAGATTCAACTTGCCACCATATGAGGTGAAGTTGTAGGTCTCAGAGTCAAGGCTGAGGACATCTGCATTGTCCACATCGAAAGCAATCACCACTTCCTCTGCCGCCGTCTTGGGAGAAGCACTAGCTGCCGCTACTGCTGCTGCTGCTGCTGTGCTGCTGCTGTTGGCGCGTGAAAGCACAAGACGGTGGGCAACAACATTCTGGAGACTCGGGTGGACTACTGACAGCCACCTTCGTTGTTCCAGCCTGCACAGGGTTCCACTCCACCTGTGAAGCTTTGAGCCGGCGACAAGTTTCCAAAGCGAGTTCAGCACAACGCGTCCCAGTCTCTGGGGTTGTTGTCATTCGCCCAATCTTATAGTTTGATCCAGTGCCACATTAGAAATACACAAAAACGCCAACAAGATCCACCACTAACCCGGTCAATTGCCCTGTGCACATGAACGAGAGCGGGTCCCGCCCTGTCCGTCCCTGGGCCTTCTCGAAGATCGTGGAGATCAGTAAACGAAAAGAATGCGAAAGACTGGTATCGGTTGAACATCTTTTGGAACGCCGCCCTCATCTGAAACCCGTTCTATCTCGAAAATCACGCTCTCTTCGCCCGTCACAGGATCCTTCCACGAGAAGCGCTGGCCGTCCAGTGACGATGCTCCCTCACCAGATAATGGGCCAACATGAACCTACCAAACGTGCTTGACCCATATGACTCAATATTGTCATATTTCACCTTTTTGGGTGTCAATCTTGCTCCGCCGCAAAGTTATCACCTTCTGCCTCCTCCAACATCACTTTGTAGTCATGGCGATGATTGTACCAGTGATGCCTTGCATTTAAACGATTGGTTCATGGCGAATCCAGAAACAATGGTCTATAGGATGGGCTTGTTTTGATCCAAATCCAAAAGGCGTAACATCGGCATATCCCGAAAAGGCCACATCCCACACGTCGCTCGCTCACTCGCTCACTCGCTCCCGGAGGGCGGTCGAGGCCACGTCCCGAGTCTTCAGGGCCTGGCCAAGCATAGAGACGCGGCCTCGAGGAGTTGGGTGGGGAGGGGAGGGGAGGGGAGGGGAGGGGGAGGGGAGGAGGGGTGGGGAGGGGAGGGGAGGGGAGGGGAGGGGAGAGGGGAGGGGAGGGGGAGGGAGGGAGGGGAGGGAGGGGAGGGGAGGGGAGAGGGGAGGGGGAGGGGAGAGGGGAGGGGGAGGGGAGAGGGAGAGGGGAATGTAGAAAGGGCTGGTCCTAAGGGGAAAATGACAAATGTTGAGGGATTTCTTGGAGTATTGTTTTTCAACAGTTTAACCATCTTATTCGTTTTCACTACCCATGTTTCATGCCATGTTTCATTTTGTTTTTCTCGGGGTGATGGTTTATTTCGTTTTGAAAGAGGTTAGTACTTTTAGTAGTTTCATCGATTGGGGTGTTGGCGGGTCTTCTGTTTTCCTATTCTTTGTTTATGTCATATTCAAAATCTGATGAGGTTTCAATGTAATATCTTATCTCTTCCTGTGTTGTTTGCTGTTTGTATTCTTTTGTTGCTTCTTCAGTCTTTGGTGGCTTTGGATTCTTAACATTGTTGATGTGTTTTTTGGTTCTTTCGTGTTTTGCTTTCTGACTAAGTGAGACCATACACCTACAATATTGACATTCAAATTTTCGTAGGTTGTATTCTTTACTGTGTTCTTTCTGGTATTGCTGTTTGTGTTCTTTATTATTTTCATAATATTCCTTCGCTTTTTGACTAAGTGTTTCTTTATTTCTTTCTCTGTATCTCTGTTTGCTTTCGAGACATAAATTACATTGTTTCCTTTCTTCTTTGAACCTTTCTAGCGGTTGAAAGACTTTACATTTTGAACACTGCTTTTTGTCAGTCATATATCCTTAAATATTAAGGGGTCTAGTCTTTAAATTAATTCAGGGGTATTCATAGATTAAAAGTTCACTATAATTATAACATATAAGAGTATAAATGATATAATTATGGTTTAGTTATGAATTACACAGGTTCATCAACAATTAGTTTAAACCTTATGTTTTGTACTCCTCCAAAATTCATTCTACTTCTTTCATCATCAATACAACTGTATATTTTTTGATGCGCCGCTCTCATTACATCGGCTATATTATCTATGGTTATATTATCTACAACATCATCACTATGAAAATGAAAACTAAAAGTGTTAAAATGGTTGTCTTCATAATAATTGAAATGATGAAACCTTACAAACATATTTACCTCAACTATTATCACTGCTTCATAACCGTTATCGGTTTCAATGCCATCTAACAAACAATCTAAGTTTTCATTTTCATTAAAAACTATATCTTTGATGCTTTTTATGCTTAAAGGTATATTTCTTGAAATGTAATACTCAATTACGTGTCTCTTTATATCATCGCCATCTTCAACAGTAAAGCGCGTTGTCTTTCTTTTTGTTTCTGTTCTGTCTATTTTATATCGTTGCTGTATTCTCTTTAATGTCTTAATATGATTATGTTTTAGTTTCAAATACTCAGGTCTCCCAAATTTATATGAAATGATACCTTTTAATACATCAGCAGGTAAGCTAGCACAATTCTCAAATATAAAATTATTCTCTGACATTTTACCCTTACTCATTTTTATCTTAATATATAAGGTGTTTTCTCTTTAAGTAGTTTTTTGTTTTTTATGTTAAGGGGTTGAGTTTTATGCTAATAAAAAATATTTTCTAACAAATAATATAATGGCAAGATTAACGAAAGACCAAATAATCAGCAACATCTATTATGATTTAGATGATGGTTTCGGAAGCACACAAGCAACACACAAGAAGGCAAAGGAAGAAGACCCAACGATAACATTAGAAGATGTAAAGTCTTTCTTAAAGAAACAACCAAATAAACAAATCAAAAATTATAGAGGCACTAATTCCTATACCGCCCCGTTTGCTAGGTATGAATATCAAATAGACATAATGCATATGTCACCTTTAGCTAAAGACAAGAATGTTCCACAGTATGCTTTAGTCGTGATTGACATCTTCAGTAAATTAGCAGATGTAATTCCGATGGAGGAAAGAGACGGAGAGCACGTTTTGAAGGCGCTTAGAGCAAGTTTTAAAAAGATGGATTATCCAATGTCTGTGTATTCTGATGATGATGGAGCGTTCGCTACTAAAAATCAAGTTCAGGATTTCTTCAACAGCGAAGGTATCAAACACATAATAACGAAGACACACGCAAATGTAGCCGAACGTTTTATTAGGACATGAAAAACAAAATTCACGATAGAGTTAGGTTTAATAATATGAAATGGACCGATGCCTTAACACCAGCATTGAAACAGTATAACAGCACATTACACTCGTCAACAAGGATGACACCAACCGAAGCACACAAGGACGACAATGAAATAAATGTAAAGGTCAATCTGAAACTACGAGAAAAGAACAAAAGAAAGTATCCCAGAATACAGGAGAACGATAAGATAAAAGTGTTTCAAAAGAAAAGGGGCAATTACACCGACAGAAAAGAGTATAACTCTAAATGGTCTAATAAAATATTCAATGTTGATAAAATTGAATATGATATTATGGGTAATAAAACTTACAGAGTAGCAGGAATAAACAAACCACTTCTGAGACACGAAATTTTGTTAGTTAATGATTAAACATATTTCTTGGTATCTTCAATATACTTGACTTGGTAGAAATCCAGACTTGATTGTTTAGGTTCTTTAATGACTTTTTCATTAAGTTTTTTAATATATACATTTCGTTTATTCTTGTATTCAGTGCTCTCTCTATCAACTTCTTTTGGTTGGTAATTATTAGTATTATTGTAAGCTGGTTTCTTCATACTTTCTAACAGTTGATAAATGCGTTTATTTTGTTCCATTATTTCATCAATTTTCAAAAATAGTTTATCCACACCTTCCATATATACTATATTATAAAACTAAAGTTTTAAAACTAAATATTTTAATTTCGAAGGTCTCTGTTTCTTAAATGTTTAAATTCTTCGCCTTCTACCATAAGTCTAACAATGTTATCTAAATCTTTTTGAGTATGTCCACATACTAACGCTTTGTCTAGATATAAATATTCATAGCTAAGACCAACACTAAGTAATAAAAAGTTATATCTTTTAGTTTGAGTACGAGTTAAGACTATTTTACATCCACACTTACAAGTATAATAACTAACACCATTATAATTATTGTCTCCAATTTGCTTGTCTAATTCAAGTGCTCCAAAATGTAAATGTGTTAAACTTGAAAATTCAACCATATACTATATTATTCAACTATACTTTTAAAACTAAATGTTTAAATTATGTTAATTCTACTCTTTAAATACTAATTTTTCATCATTTGTTTAATAGTTTCCTGCGTTTCGTTATCACCATTGTCGGATGGTGATGCATGCCTACCCCATTTAAAAGTTATATTATGAACATCTGTTTCTAAGTTGATACTGTCTTTAGTTTTATCAATATTCATTTTCTTATCATTTTTACTTATTTTGAAACTTGTAGGAATACACGAACATTTACAATTTCCTTTCTTTTGTATTTGTAATTCATTCTTAAGTTCTAACATTCTTTTGCATGTAGGACAAACAACCTCAATAACTGATGTTTCTTTAACAATTTCTTCATCAGTTGATGAAACACTTAAACCTGTCTTATTATTTTTGTTTTTCTTTTTTGGCATTTATATTAATATTTACATTTTTATTTTTGATATATTGTATTCCTAGCTTAATTAATTCTAATGAATAATAACAACATTTCTTAATTTTATTATCGGTTATAACAACATATTCTATATGTTGTACTTCATTTATTATATCAATATAATCTGTATAACTCCTTTTCATATTAAATAATAAGATAAAATAATTATTTAATCTTATTATTTTCATGCATAATAGAAATATTGGTGGGGCACAGCACTTGGGGTTTTCATTGCATACGCGAGCAAGACACAAAACTAATTATCTTCAATACTTATTGACTGAAGTTGATGAAAGAACCTGTTCTACTACGATAGACACCATTCATATCATAGCAATGCTTTCATACAATAAATAATATTAATTTATTTTCTAAATATTTTTAATATTATTATTTCATGCCTGAAGTTCCCATTATAAAACCAATAAACATAACTGATTATGAATTCAAACAATCCAAATATGAACATGTACCAAAACTACCTTTTCGCTCAATTGTTGTTGCTTCATCAACGGGTGGCAAAACAGTTTTAATCCAAAACCTTATCCTAAATGTTTATAGGGACTGCTTCGCTCGTATATTCATTTTTAGTCCGTCTGTTCATAATGACCCTACCTTCGTTGAAGTCAAGAAATATCAAAAAGATAATATGAAGGTTGATGATGAAAAAGAAAAGTTATATTATGACACCTACCAACCTGAAGAACTGGAAGAAATAATTAACACACAAAGAAAGATAATTCATTATATGAAAGAACAGAAGATGAAGAAACTACATTCAATTTAAATCATAGTTGATGATTTTGCAGACGACCCTAAATTTGTTAGATACAGCAAGTTATTACATGGACTGGCAACGAGAGGGAGGCACGATGCCATTAGTTTTTGTTTAAGTGTTCAAAAATATCGTGTCCTTGCTCCAATCATTAGGTTGAATTCTAGTTCGTTGTATATCTTTAAGTTAAAGAATGTGTCAGAGTTAATGTCATTCATTGAGGAAAACTCGGCCATCGTTGATAAAGAGCAACTGTTAAATATGTATCATAAAGCAGTAGACGATAAGCCCTACTCCTTCTTTTATGTCAATATGAATTCCAAAGATGTTAATAATATGTTTTATGTTAGATTTGAGAAAGCTTTTAAAATAAAATAAATCTATTATATATTATAGAATGTTAAAAATGTTTCAAGAAAGAATATATGAAGAACCAGTAAGGTTTTTCGGTGATGACGGACGTAGTCCCTCATCAGGGCGAAGCCGTGATGACATACCAAAACAATTCAGGAATATCGG